GATATGAAGACAGATGACGACCTGGCATGGCATGGCATGGCATGGCATGGCATCTTACTGGTTGACTTTGAAGGAGAAGCAGTGGTCTGTGAATGAAGCGAACTCGCCGTTAGGGCCTGCAGGGGGAGGGAAGCAGAGCGAGAAGAGGGAGGGGCGGGAGAGCATAAGTGGGAAGGGTGGGGAGAAGTGGCTCCAGATATGGGCAACAAGGTGTTGCGTGAAGGCGAGGCAATGGTCTGTGAATGAAGCAAACTCGCCGTTAGGGCCTGCAGGAGTAGGGAAGCAGAGAGGAGGGAGGGGAGGGGGTGAGAGAGAGAGAGCAGCAGCAAGAGCGTGTTGAGTGGGTGATGGAAAAACGACGGTCTGTGAATGAAGCGAACTCGCTGTTAGGGCCTGCAGGAGGAGGGAAGCAGAGATGAGCAGCAAGGTGGTGGAGGGAGAGGATAGGGGGGAATCGGGGAGGAGGTTGAGAGAGGTGGAAGGAGCTGCATGCAGAGGGAGGGAAGCAGAGAGGAGCAGCACGGTGGGGCGAGAGGGGGATGACGAGGAGGAGGGCAAGTGGCTTAAAAAAAAAATTGAGTCGACTCAAGCTCAAGCGCGGGGCGACTGGTGCGGAGCTCCTCTGCGTTAAAAAAAAAAAGAGTCGACTCATTAAACGCGGTTTTCCAATTAAGATGAGCAGCATGGCGGGGCGAGGGATAGGAGGGTGCCGAGGAGAGGAGGGCAACTGGCTTAATATTGGAAAAAAAGGAGGGCAACTGGCTTAATATTGGAAAAAAAGGAGGAGGGCAACTGGCTTAATATTGGAAAAAAAGGAGGAGGGCAACTGGCTTAATGTTGGAAAAAAAGGAGGAGGGCAACTGGCTTAATATTGGAAAAAAAGGAGGAGGGCAACTGGCTTAATATTGGAAAAAAAGGAGGAGGGCAACTGGCTTAATATTGGAAAAAAAGGAGGAGGGCAACTGGCTTAATATTGGAAAAAAAGGAGGGCGAGGGAAGGGAGGAGCAGAAGAGGAGAAAGAAAGAGAGACAGGAAGGAACGACGAAGGTTCTCCATCCAAGCACTCTGGTCATGTACAAAGTGAATCTTCAAGTACGGTTTGCAGCACGCATAGAATAAAGATTTAAAAACTTTGTTTTATTGTTTTCAAATAATCACCTCACGAGCCAACTTGGAAATTCACTTGGCACATGCCAGCCAGAGTGCGTCGAAGAAAGAGCGTGCCATTGCTAGTAAAACACCCAGGGTTTGCCTCCGTGTAAGACCCAGGCTTCCACTCACCCAGATCCTTTTCGAGCTTGTCCTTGACTGTGCAAAGGCGGCCCCTCGTCTGTGTAACCGATTTCATTAAACACCCCCCCTAAACCAGCTAAACCTCGGTGTAAGACCCAGGCTTCCACCCACCCAGATCCTTCTCGAGCTTGTCCTTGACTGTGCGAAGCCGCCCACTCGTCTTGCTGAGCTGCGATGACACCCTGTTGTACTCTGAACGCACTGCAAGCAGGTCTGGAGGGGGGGGGGGTTTGGGGAGAAAGAGGGAGGGAGAAGTTGGGGTTGAAGCCGGCCCCCGTCTTGCTGACCTGCGATGACACCCTGGTTGTACTCTGAACGCACTGCGAGGAAGGGTCTGTGAGGAATGGGTGATGGGTTGAAGATGCCAGAGGAAATAGGGAGCGAGAGGGATGAAGACACAGCAAGGAAGGGCTGGGAGGAGTCCTCCGTCTTTCTGAGCTGCGGTGACACCCTGTTGTACTCTGAACGCACTGTGAGGGGGTCTGTGAGGAAAGGTGGTGGGTTGAAGTTGAAGATGCAGAGGAAAGAGGGAGCGAGAGGGATGAAGACACAGCCTTGCGGGCGAACAGGAAGGGCTGGAAGGAGCCCCCTCGCCTTGCTGACCTGCGATGACACCCTGTTGTACTCCCAACGCACTGCAAGGAGGTCTGGCGGGGGTTGGCGGGGAGAAAGAGGGAGGGAGGGTTTGGGGTTTAAGCCTGCCCCCGGCTTGCTGAGCTGCGATGACACCCTGTTGTACTCTGAACGCACTGCAAGCAGGTCTGCAGCGAAGGGAGAAAAGAACCAAGGGAAGGAAAGGGTTAGGGAAGGGAGGGGTTGGGGTTTAAGCCGCCCCGTCATCTTGCTGAGCTGTGTTGATACCATGTGGTACTCTGTACGCATGGTAGGGACGGGACTTGGTAGGTCAGGTACTCCAGAGCACACGGTAGGGAGGTCTAGAGGGAGATTGGGATAAAAGGTGAGTGAAAGAGCGGCTTTTCTTGTGTCAATATGGAGCCTTGTGAAGAGTTCTGATCTGGCCAAGAAAGCACAGGAAACACAAGGAGAGCCAAGGGGACAAGAGAGGAGACACGAAGCCTCATCAAACGAGTGTTTGTTATCCAGTAGGCCACGTCACACTCCTAGCTAGTAGACGTGTCACACCCATTGACCGTCTTACCCGTTTCATTGATCGACAGTGCTGGTTTGGTGGAGACGAGGGAGGAGACTCGCGACCACACCTGCTTCGCCTTGTCCCAGAAGGATGGGGGCGAGGAGGCAGAGGGCGCTGGGGGGGGGAGGAGGAGGAGGGAGGGGAGGGAGGGAGTGAATGGGGGGAGAAAGGGGGGGGGAGGGGGGGAAGGGGGAGGTAGAGACAAGAGGGAGACTTGAGACCACACCTGCTTCGCCTTGTCCCACGAAGATGGGGGCGAGGAGGCAGAGGGCGCTGGGGGGGGGGGGGGGAGGGGGGTGAGGGGTGGGGGAAGGGGAGAGGAGAGGGAAGGAGGAAATGGGAGACGAGGGAGGAGACACGGGACCACACCTGCTTGCCTTTTCCCAGAAGGTTGGGGGCGAGGAGGCAGCAGGTGCTGACAGGGGGGAGCACGAGGGTGGGGTGGGGAGAGGAGGGAGAGGCAGAGAATGGGAGTAACTGCGAGACGAGGGAGGAGACTCGAGACCACACTTGCTTCGCCTTGCCCCAGAAGGATGGGGGCGAGGAGGCAGCAGGTGCTGACTGACAGGGGGGAGCACGAGGGTGGGGTGGGGAGAGGAGGGAGAGGCAGAGAATGGGAGTAACTGCGAGACGAGGGAGGAGACTCGAGACCACACTTGCTTCGCCTTGCCCCAGAAGGATGGGGGCGAGGAGGCAGCAGGTGCTGACTGACAGGGGGGAGCACGAGGGTGGGGTGGGGAGAGGAGGGAGAGGCAGAGAATGGGAGTAACTGCGAGACGAGGGAGGAGACTCGAGACCACACTTGCTTCGCCTTGCCCCAGAAGGATGGGGGCGAGGAGGCAGCAGGTGCTGACTGACAGGGGGGAGCACGAGGGTGGGGTGGGGAGAGGAGGGAGAGGCAGAGAATGGGAGTAACTGCGAGACGAGGGAGGAGACTCGAGACCACACTTGCTTCGCCTTGCCCCAGAAGGATGGGGGCGAGGAGGCAGAGGGCGCTGGTTGGGGGAGGCGGAGGAGGGACGGGGAGGGAGTGAATGGGGGGGAGAAAGCGGGGGGGGGGGGGGGGGGGGAAGGGGGAGGTAGAGACAAGAGGGAGACTTGAGACCACACCTGCTTCGCCTTGTCCCACGAAGATGGGGGCGAGGAGGCAGAGGGCGCTGGGGGGGGGGAGGGAGGGGTGGGGGAAGGGGAGAGAAGAGGAGGAGGGAGGGAATACGGGACGAGGGAGGAGACTCGAGACCACATCTGCCATGCCTTGTCCCACAGGGACGGGAGCGAGGAGGCAGAGGGGCGTGGGGGGGTTGGGTTGGGGGGGGGAGTAAATGGGAGACTAGGGAGGAGACACGGGACCACATCTTCTGTGCCTCGTCCCACAACGATGTGTGCTGTGAGGTCTGTGCTGCGTGCAGTGCAAGTCCCGAGCGCTTAAGTACCTGATGCGTCACGCTGGTGTGTGCTCTGCGCTCTGTGCTGTGCGCCTTGTGCTGCTGTGCTGCTGCAAGGCGCTTTAGTAGCTGATGTGTCGCGCCAAGGACCGTCCTCCTAGTCGTCATGAGAGGAGGACGGTCCTAGTCGCCAAGGACCGTCCTCCTCGTTATCCTCCAGCGCATCATCATCATCATCAACGGTATCATGCCCATCATCTACATTGGAATGCTCCAGCAGCGCTAGTAGCACCTAGTCAAAAAGTACCTGATGCATGGCGCCAAGGATCATCGTCCCGCTCGTCAGAAGAGGGAAAGTCCTCGTTATCCTCACCAGGGGGGCAAAGCGAGACGATAAGCCGTTGAGGAGGCAACATGGACATGCGTCGTGTGGCTTCTATGTGCCGTGTGCTGCTGTGTGCTGCGGTGTGCTGCCGTGTACCGTGTGCTTGTGCTGCTGTGTGATGTGTGCTCTATGCAGTGCAAGCACATTAGTACCTGATGCATCGCGCCAAGGATCGTCCTCCTGCTCGTCATGGGAGGGAAAGTCCTCGTTGTCCTCCAGCGCATCATCATCGACGGCATCATGCCCATCACCACCATCATCACCATTATCATCATGGTCAACCTCATGATCGTCATGATTATCATGCTCCACGTCGTCATAGTCCTTGTCATCGTCCCATCATCATACGCCAACCCATCATCCCCTCCCAAGTCAGCCCCATCACTCCCTTCTCCCTCCCCTTCCCCACCCCCCTCCCCCCTTCCCCCTCCTCCCCCCCAACCTCCGCCCCCCCCGGGTCCGTCCTCCCCATGCGCCCATCGGGAGGCAATCCGCCTCCCCAGCTCCTCCTTCGATAGTCCCGATAGGTCCTCGTCGTTCTCATCGTCGTTGTCATCAGCAGCAGTAGTCGCATCGAAAACAGCACCAGCATCAGCAGCAGCATCAGTAGCAGCATCGGCAGCAGCATTGGCAGCGGCATCAGCAGCAGCATCAGAAGCACTAAGCGGCTCCCCCAACACTGCCTTCCCTGTGGCAGACGCAGACTCAGGCTCGGCCGCAGCAGGCTCAGTTGCTGCAGGCTCGGCAGTGTCAGGCTCGACAGCATCAGGTTCGGTAGAAGCAGCTTCAGTGGCAGCAGGTTCGGTGGCAGGTTCGGTAGGTTCGGCAGGTGGTGGCTGCAGCTTCTCCTCCTCTGCCTTCCTTCTAGCCGCCTCTTCCTCCTCTATCTTCCTCTGCTTCTCCTTCTCCTCCTCCTCTATCTTCTCCAGAGCCTCCTTCCTCTCTGCTCACGATGGGGGAAGGGGGGGAAGGGGGGGGGGAAGAGGGAGGATAGTGAATGTACAAGATTGCTTCCTCTTCCTCTATCTTCCTCTGCTTCTCCTTCTCCTCCTACTCTATCTTCTCCAGAGCCTCCTTCCTCTCTGCTCACGATGGGGGAAGGGGGGGAGGAGGGAGGGAGGATAAGTGAATGTACAAGATTGCTTCCTCTTCCTCCTCTATCTTCTCCAATGCTTCCTTCCTCTCTGTTTGCAACGAGGGAGGAGGGGAAGGGATAAGTGATTGTATAACAATGCTGCCTCTTCCTCCTCTATCTCCCTCTGCTTCTCCTTCTCTTCCTCCTCTATCTTCTCCAATGCTTCCTTCCCCTCTGTTTGCAAGGAGGGAAGAGAGGGAGGGGGGGGTGGTCTGGAGGAGGGCGCACAAACGTTAGAGTCGATTTTCGAGGTGAATCAAAAGAGGAAGAAGGATCCGGACAACAGGAGTGTGAGCACTCACTACCCCCCCCCCCCCCCCCCCCCCTGCAAAACTTACCTTAGAGCACCTTATTTTTACCTGCTCTTGATTCTTTTCTTCCAGAGGACATTCGCATCGAATCAAAAGCCGCACACAAGTCACACAGAGGCCCATACACAGAGGCACACACAGAGGCACACACAGAGGCACACACAGACACACACACAGAGGCACACACAGACACACACACAGAGGCACACACAGACACACACACAGAGGCACGCACAGACACACACACAGAGGCACACACAGAGGCACACACAGAGGCACACACAGACACACACACAGAGAGACACACGGACACACACACAGAGGCACACACAGACACACACACAGAGGCACACACAGACACACACGCAGAGGCACACACAGACACACACACAGAGGCACACACAGACACACACACCGAGGCACACACAGACACACACACAGAGGCACACACAGACATACACACAGAGGCACACACAGACAAACACACAGAGAGGCACACACAGACACACACACACAGGTACACACAGACACACACAGAGGCACACACACAGACACACACACACACACAGAGGCACACACACAGACACACACATACAGAGTCGCCCACACATACCTTTGAGGGCCTTCTCCTTCTCCTGCAGCCGCCTCTTCTCTTCAATTGGACATTTGAATCCGAATCAAACGCCACACACACAAACATACGCTCTCCAAAACACACCTTTGAGCACCTTCTCCTTCTCCTGCAGCTGCCTCTCTTCCTCCTCCAATCGCCCCCTCTCCTCCTGCATCCGCCCCTTCTTCTCTCGCCACTTCTCTATCGCCCTCAGCCTCTGCTTTGACCCCAAACATACCTTGGAGAACCCTCTCCTCCTCCTGCACTTGCCTCTTCTCTTCTCTTCCCAAAAACAGTTCCTTACATCGTTCAAAACCCACACAAGCACACACTCAAAAGCACACACTCACACATACCTTTGAGCGCCTTCTCCTTCTCCTGCAGCTGCCTCTCTTCCTCCTCCAGCCGCCCCCTCTCCTCCTGCATCCGCCCCTTCTTCTCTCGCCACTCCTCGATCGCCCTCTGCCTCTGCCTCACCCCCTCCTTGTACTTCGCCACGTCAGCTGCCAGCTGTTGCCGCCTCGCCGCCCCGGCCTGCGCACACGTGTTGGGGCAAACAACGCTTCCATCGTACTCGTCACTACCATCGCAGCAATCTGAGAAGGCGGGAAAAGGAGACGGAAAAGGAGAAGCGGGGGGGGGGAGGGAGAGAGGAGAAAGAATTGACATATCAGCGACCCCGGCCTGCGCACACGTGTTGGGGCAGACTACGCTTCCATCGTACTCGTCACTGACATCACAGCAGTCTGAGGAAGGAAGCACAAGTAAATAAAGGAGGCAGGCAGAGGGAGAAGGAAGCACAAGTAAAGGAGGCAGGTAGAGGGTGAAGGAAACACAAGTAAGCCGCCCCGGCCTGCGCACATGTGTTGGGGCAGACCATGCTTCCATCATATTCGTCACTACCGTCGCAGCAGTCTGAGCAAGGAACAGGGGCAGAGGGAGGGAATGACTTTTGAATCGACTCAAAAGTCACCTCATTTTGAGTCGACTCAAAAGTCACCTCATTTTGAGTCGACTCAAAAGTCACCTCATTTTGAGTCGACTCAAAAGTTGCCTCATTTTGAGTCGACTCAAAAGTCACCTCTGAGGAAGGAACAGGGGCAGAGGGGGAAGGAACAGGGGCAGAGGGGGAAGGAACAGGGGCAGAGGGGTAAGGAACAGGGGCAGAGGGGGAAGGAACAGGGGCAGAGGGGTAAGGAACAGGGGCAGAGGGGGAAGGAAACACAAGCAAGCCGCCCCGGACTCAGCACACGCATTGCGGCAGAAGGGGGGAAAGGCGAGTTCAGTGGGTTGCCCTGCCTGACTCCCGAGGCACATGTGTTGGTGCAGGGAACCCTACCATCGTACTCGCCTCGTGACTGCCATCATAGCAATCTGAGGAGAGGAAGAGGGGGGCAGGGATACGTGCAGGGAGGCGCCTAAAAAATGCACACAAGACAGAAATACCTCCAAAAGACACGTGTAGCTGCTGGCTTAGCTTTCACCCCAACCTACCGCAGATGCCGTCATTTACGCGTGACGAGAAGATGCGGAGGGGATTGTGCCCTCGGTTGCGACAGAAGAAGGAGGCGTTGGGGCACGCCGAAGTGCCTGGCTCGTCCGTGCCGTCAGGGCAGTCACAGAAGTCGTCGTTGACTCGCGAAATGTGAACCTTCCTGGAACCATCCCGGCACGAAATCACGTCGCCAGAGAACAGTGCCTTATCTGCTGTCCCTCACTCCCCACAGGCACCCACCCACCCACCATTCCTCCTCTCAGCCACACAGACCCACCCAACCTCGCACCCACTCTTCCCCCCAAACCCCACACAGACAAACGTTTTCCCACCCCTCCTCTTACACGTGCCCCAAGCACAAACGCACGTACACACACGCATATACACGCTCGTACACACACGCATGCACAGAGCGCCCGCACACACACGTAGACCCGAACACGGACAGAGCAAAGGAAAAGGGAATATAAGACCAGGGAATATAAGCAGCCTGACCAGACAATTCGAGAAGACTAGGTCAACGAAAATTCGCCGAACACAGCTGGCACAAACCCGTCCAGCTGGCTAATCACCAGAAGCCCCCCGATTCGCGAGAAAACATGCGAAGACAGCTAGGACAAACGCGTCCAGCTGCCGAACCACTATTGGCGGTGTAGGTTCGCGAACGCTGACTGCTTGTAGCACTTGGTGCCTAGGACAGAGAGCCTCTAAGCCTACTAGCCTAGTAGGGGGAACCGTTCTATAGAGCACGAATCTTCACCAGGCACGATCATATCTCTTAAAATGTTTTCGTAACGTGCGATCATCGCACTGGAGTAGCGAAAGCACCTTGAGGGGGGACGCCACGGAGAGGCTTGACGCTGGCGAAAACCCCCGTTACGCTGACAAGGACGACGATTAGTAACGAAATTCGCACGCTGGAAGCCATTTTCGGGCTACCGATCACAACTGCCGATAACGCACTTCCCAATTCGCTGGCTTTATGACGAAATGGATCTCCTTTTTAAGATTGAGAGGAGGAACGACTATGCAGCGTGATGCACGGAGGTGCTGCCTAAGGAAGGACGTAAAGCTTCGCCTCTACTGGAACAGGCGATCAGGTCGAAGGAATCTGACGGTTAGCGAAATCCCACTCACTTCACAAGCAGGGACTGGGGTGGTTAGCCTAGCTCATGTATTTTTTTTCATCATACACTACATGCCAACGGAGAATCAGTTACCCGATTATAGTTTCGTAACTTGTTCAAATTTGATTGCCTGATTACGTCACCTCGTTAATTACTTGCGCCATGAACGGAGTTTGCTGGTGTGGAGAATGACGTCATGGGACGTACCATGCCTAAACTTTTGACTTCAGGTACGCTTTTAGGTTACCTAAAAGAAATTCAGTGAACAGGTCTTATCTGACTGGTCCAGAACCAAGTTCGCTTGGGATGGTTCGGTGTTCCCAAGCTTCCTACTGGCCTGGATGTGGGGAAGAAACATCGTTGCACTCTGATTGGCCACGTTTGAACAAGATCTGAGGAGGGCAATGAAATTTCTGGAAAAGGGTACAGTTCCTACTCACTATTGGCTTTTCAGCCAACGGTCGCTGGCGAGGCTGGAGCTATATCCGCTATAAGAGAACAGTTCCGCTTCGAGTATAGGTTTTCGCAGAGCCCATTCTTTCTACTCAGCAGACGACTTTTATTATGTTATACTGTTTTCAGAAAGCCAATTCTCCTGCTGGACCCTCCCTCCCAAGCCTGAAGTTTCAACCTGAACCCAGATATTGCTGCCTGATAGCTTCAGATCAGATATGGCTCCATAGCTTCGTATCCTCTTCATTCTAGTTGGCATCTAACGAGAGCCATGGCTGCATCGTCGCACCTAGCTGTCTGCAGTTCCCTGGCTTGCTCTCGCGTTACGAAGCTACATTCTGGTATTGTCATTCGCGCTCCTTCCTCATGAAAAGCCCTGAGCTCTCCAATCATCTGACACAGCATGTCTCCCCTTCCGCGGAAAGTCCGATGCACCTGAGAAGATTTTCTGGAGGTTTCAGGATAACCTCACCTAAACCTTCTTTCTGCCGTTTTTTCTCTCTCCCTCCTTCGCCCCTCCCTCCCGGCCAACAGAACTGCTCCCGCGGCGGCGACAGTCGTCGTTTCTGCTCTCCTTATCTCAATCCGATGACTCGTTTAAGCAGCCGTCCGCATTTCGCGGAGCAAGCCTCCGCGCGACCAAGGGGTTTTCCGAGGAAGGGGAGAAGGGGAAGCGAGGGCCATCAGTGCAGAAAATAGAGGAGGAAGAAGAGGAGGAAGAGGGGGGGGAGTGGGAGGAGGAAGAGGAGGGGGGGGAGTGGGAGGATGAGATTGACGAATTAGAAGAAGGGGAAGAAGTGGATTTGGAGGGAGGAGAGCTAGAGGAGGAGGAGGGGGGGAGGACGATGGTGATGATGACGTTGTACAGATGGCAGCAGCGGATTGGGAGAGAGCAGCCATGGCGGTGGTGGTGGAGGCGATAGAGAAGCAGGAGAAGGACGAGAGCCGGCGCAAGGGATGGCGCCGGCGACGGGATGTAGTGGAAGAGGTGAGCTCAGAACCTTAGTCTGGCAAGAATCGAGGGTTTATCGAGTTCAGGGTTTACGAGGGTTGAAGGGTGGTGGTGGTGGAGGCGATAGAGAAGCAGGAGAAGGGCGAGAGCCGGCGCAAGGGAAGAGGTGAGCTAGGAACATTCTAGGGTTTATCGAGTGGAGGGTTTATGAGGTTGTACGGTGCTGGTGGAGACGAGTGAGCTTGGCTGGTAAGAGTAGAGGGTTTATAGGGTTGTACGGTGGTGGTGGAGGCGATAGAGAAGCAGGAGAGGGACGAGAGCCGGCGCAAGGGAATGCGACAAAGATGGGACATAGTGGAAGAGGTGAGGTGCGAGCGCTAGTCTAGACTGGCAAGACTCGAGTGTTTATCGAGTCGGGGTTTATCAAGTTGGGGTTTGTCTTGTCGGGGTTTATCTGCTATGGAGTCTATACAGCCCAGGTCTGGGGTTCATAATGAGGGTCTATTTTTGAGGCGCCTCAAAAATAGACTAATCAAGAGGCGGTGGAGAGCAGGCTGAACAGCCGACGACGGCAGCGAGATGTAGTAGACGAGGCATGAGTCTAGGTTTTATCAGGTCCAGGGTTTATCAAGCCCAGGGTTTATCAGGTGTCTAGCAGGAGAAGGGCAGGCGGAAGGGCTTGAAAATGCAGTGGAACGTGGTAGACAAGGTGGGCTCAGCTCAGAGCAGCAGTCTGGCAAGAGTCGCGGGTTTTTTCTCCTTAGAGCTCACCTGGGTATTACTGCGTGGGGGTTCTGACTTGAATGGATGATGGGAGAAGGAGAGCGAAATGAGGATACGGACGAGAGGGAGAAAGTTGGTGCAGGGAGTTTGGATTGGAGGCGTAGCATGAGGCACATGCAGGGTGTGGTGTGGTGTAGGGCGTGGTGCGGTGTGCATAGCACAGATGTTGCCACTGGATGCATCATGGCATGATGGCATGATGGCATGTGCCATGGCATGGTTTTCCATGGCACAGGCCGTCCGTTAACATGATGGTCCTGGCATGTCACCACATGTGTCATGGCAGGTACTGGAGCTGCTCGAGTGGGCGCCCTTGATTTTGCAGAGTGCTTTCGAGAATTGTAAAAAACATGATGGCCTGGCATGTCACAATAGGTGTCATGGCAGGTACCGGAGCATCTGCTGCCTCAAGTGGGCGCCCTTGCTTAAACATCTGAATAAATCAGAATGTTAATTTTCTTATCTGGCCATCTTGAATCGACGCAACATGGGGTACATGGCATGGCATGGCGGAATGGGCAGCATTATGACTTCATTCATGCGAAAACACAAGATCCTCCTCTTTCCTCTGACATTGGCATGCCACCACATGTGTGTCATGGCAGGTACCGGAGCATCTGCTGCCTCGAGTGGCCATCGTGGGTCGTCCCAACGTGGGCAAGTCAGCTCTCTTCAACCGACTAGTGGGGGTGAGTGAGTGATTGCAGCTCTTGCTTGCTTGAGGCTAGGGCATGTTTTTCTTTCCCAGGAATCTAACTGCGCAACATCGCCATATTCTTTAGGCGCCTCAAAAGTAGGCACTTGCTTGCTTGAAGCTAGGCTAGGGCATGCATTTCATTCATTCCCAGGACTCTAACCGTGCAACATCGCCATAGTGCTATGGCACGACGAGCCCGGGTAACCAGGCCGATTGTTGACTAAATGTTGAGTTCTTAGCTCTCCTCCCATCCCTCTCCCTCCCAGCGCAAGTCGCCATAGTGCATGACGAGCCCGGAGTGACCAAGATGACTATTGACTTAGTATTGAGTTTTAACACTCCTCCCCTCTACCCATCCCATCCCCCATCCCCCCTCTCCCCACCCGGGCAGCGAAACTTCGCCACAGTGCATGATGAGTCTATTTTTGAGGCGCCTCAAAAATAAACTTCGCCACAGGGCATGATGAGCCGGAGTGACCAGGGAGGGGACCGTCTGTTGACTTACCAATGAGTTATCAACTCTCCTCCCATCCTCCCATCCACCCATCCACCCCCTTCGGCCCCGGCAGCGCAACATCGCCATAGTGCACGACGAGCCCGGGGTGACGAGGGACCGGCTGTACGCGCGTGCCCTTTGGGAGGACAGGCAGTTCCTGCTCACTGACACGGGCGGCCTCATGGACGCCCCTAATGCTGCTGCTGCTTCTGCTGCTGGTGCTGCTGGTGCTGCTGGTGCTGCTACTGACGGTGCTGATGGTGCAGGTGCTGCAAGGAGGAAGGGCGGTAGAGGGGGGAGGGCAGGGCGAGGCTCGGCGTCCGGAACAGCCTTGCTGGCGCTGGCTAAGGCGGACGGTGTTGCTGTAATCGGTGAGTGTGAACGAATGTAGCTGGAAGTGCAAGGAGGAAGGGCGATAGTAGAGGGGAGGAGGCCGCAGGGCGAGGCTCGGCTTCCTCAGCAGCCTTGCTGGCTCTGGCTATGGCGGACGGCGTTGCGGTTACTGGTGAGTGTGAACCTAACTGGAGGTGCAAGGAGGAAGGGGTAGTAGAGGGGAGGCCGCAGGGCGAGGCTCGGCTTCCTCAGCAGCCTTGCTGGCTCTGGGTAGGGCGGATGCGGCTCCTTGCCCAAGTTCAAGAAAAAGAATCTCCTGTCTCGGGAGTTGACTTCCATTTGAGTCGACTCAAAAGCAGCCCATCCACGTTAGCTCTAATGAAGATTGAATCTCCTTGCTCGGGAATTGACCCCTCCCCACCTACACCAACCGTGGCGTGTACAGGTGGCGGCGGGCGATTGGCCAACGAGCGGGCGGCGAAGGAGGCTGAGGTGGCGGGTCTGCCGGAGCTGATTGGCCGCCAGGCTGCTGCTGCCGTGGAGGAGGCAGATGCGATCATCATGGTGGTGGATGGGCAGGTGGGTGGGAGGAGACTTTGAGGTACCATGGTATTCTGGGTTCGTGTTTTGAGGCGCCTCAAAACTAGGTACCATGGTATTTTGGGTTCGTGGTCATGGGGAAAATAGCAGCTGTGGAGGAGGAGGAGGCAGATGCCATCATCATGGTGGTGGATGGGCACGTGAGGCGTTGCATCTGTTTTACAGGGTGTTTTTGAGAATTCTCAAAAACACCGTTCAACAGGTTTGGGATAAGGAGTTAGTAAGCTGGTGAGGCGGGGCAGGGCATATGGTTCAATTAACCACCCATGGCTCAAGAGGTTAGCTTAGCACTCATGGTGGTGGATGGGGCGGAGACGGCGGCTTTTAGATGTTTTTGAGAGTTCTAAAAAATAACTTTAGACGTATGGATTCTTTGGGGTTCAGCACTGTGAGCATCACTCCTACCCCCTTCTCCGCCGTCGCTATTCCTCTCCCTGTACAGCTTTTGGGGCTCAGCAGCAGCACTGGAGTCTGGAGACGACTCATTCACCCCCCCCTACTCTCTGCATCGCTCACACCCTTCCATTCCTCTCCCCCTTCCTTCCCTGTCCTCTCTGCTCCCGTTTCCAACTTCTGCCAGGCTGGCGCAACAGCTGCTGACGTGGAGATCGCTCAGTGGCTGCGGCGCCGCCACGTGGCAAGCAGCAAGCCCGTCTTTCTGGCAGTCAACAAGTGCGAATCGCCCACTAAGGGGCTCCTCCAAACAGCCGAGTTCTGGTCGCTGGGGTAAGTTGGGGATTGGAGTGTGCCATCAGTTAGCCCTGTGGTCTCCACTCTGACTTGGGCGAGGGGCTTGCTGTCTTCCTGCCAGTCAGCAAGTGCGGGACCCCCACCCCACCAAGGGGCTCCTCCATACAGCCGAGTTCTGGTCCCCAGGGTAAGTGTGCTTGTGCTTGTTTCTGTGCTCTGCCTGGTGGGCGAGCGAACGGTGAGAACTGTCTTGCTTGTCTGTGCTCTGCCTGGGGCTTGCTTTTCATATTTCTGGCGGTCAGCAAGTGCGAGTCTCCCACCAAGAGCCTTCTGCTGCGGTGCGGATTGCAGGGTTCGAGTCCCGAGGGTTAGTGCGACTTGCGATTTGTGTCTGCCTCTGTGTGCCTGCCTTGCGTCTTTCTGGTGATCAGCAAGTGCGAATGTCTTACCAAAGGGCTCCTCCATCCATACCGCTGAATCCTAGTGGCTCTGGTGAGTCGAGGAGGTGTGGGGAGGCGGACGATTAGAATGGGTGTGGTGAGTTGGGAGCAAGGGGGGAGTGAGTAGACAGCATGCGGCGGCATTGAACGGCGTGCAACGACCGTCAAATTCTCAAACCCACCCCTGCTCCCTATCTCCTTCCCCACCCTCCCTCCTCTCCCTCAACCCCATATCAGCCTGAACCCCATGGCAGTGTCGGTGTCGGCCATGGTTTTTTTTTAGGCGCCTAAAAAATCAGCCTGAACCCCATGGCAGTGTCGGCCATGGCACGGGCGCAGGCGATCTGCTAAAAGCTCCCACAGCACGGGCACGGGCACAGGCACGGGCACGGGCACGGGCATGGGCACGGGCACGGGCACGGGCATTCACAGCTCCCTCTTGCCCCACTTTCCTCCGCTCCCCATTCTCCTCCCCATGCGCTATCTCAGGCTGACCCCCATGGCGGTGTCAGCCCTCTCAGACCCACGGCACATGCAACCTGCTTGACACTTCCAACACAACTTCCCCCCGCCCCGCCTTCCCCTCTCCCATTCGTCTCTCCCTATGAGCTTTCTCAGCCTGACCCCCATGGCAGTGTCAGCCCTCTCAGGCACCGGCACGGGCGACCTGCTAGACGAGCTTCCGAAGGCCCTTTCCCAATCTTCTCCCCCTTTGTCTCCCCACGTACCCTCCATTACACCCCCCACCCCCCCACTCCCCCCCCCAACCCAGCCTGACCCCCATGGCAGTGTCCGCCCTCTCAGGCACCGGCACGGGCGACCTGCTAGACGAGCTTCTGAAAGCCCTTCCCTTTCCTGAGGTGAGGGGTGAGGGGGTGAGGGGGTGAGGGGGTGAGGGGGTGAGGGGGTGAGGGGGTGAGGGGTGAAGGGGGGGGGTGATTTGTTCAGTCTGGACTGGATGTGGGAATGAGGCTTGAATTGATGATGATTGGGGCAAGAGGCTTGAAAGGGGCTGGCGACCCGCTAGATGAGCTCCTGATGGCCCTTTCTTCTCTGCCCTGGAGGGAGGGGGTGAGGTGGTGAGGGAGGGGGTACTCTGATGAGTTAGGTGCTTAGTTGCTACAAACGCGTTTGGCGTTTGAACGCTAGCGTTTAAACGCTAGAGTTTGAACGCTAAACGCTCGGCAGTGTGTATGTGAACGCTAGGCAAACGCTTGCCCGGGCAGGGGTAAAATTTTTACCCGGGCAGGGGTTCAAGATTCTTGTGGGTGAGGGGGGAAACATGGGGGTTCTACCAGCAAGCATTTTGTCTCACAAAAAGAACCGTGCTTAACATTTAAGCCAGCATCCTCATGTGTCATGTAAATCACCTATCCTTAATGCTATTCTCTAACGACAATCTCGTGTTTTTTTTGGGGGGGCAGCCCGAAAAATATCCCAGAGAGCGTTTGCGTTTTTGGGTGCGTTTGGCGTTTGCGTTCAAACGCAAGCGTTTGAACGCTAAACGCGTGTCTGCCAGAGCGTTTGTAGCAACTAAGGTTAGGTGAAGGAAAGCAGCATGCGGCAATGCAAGGCACGGGCACAGGCGACCTGCTAGACGAGCTTTTGAAAGCCCTTCCTTTTCCTGAGGTGCATCGTTTGAGGTGCATCGTTTGAGGTGCATGGTTTGAGGTGCATCGTTCGAGGTGCATCGTTTGAGGTGCATCGTTTGAGATGCATCGTTTGAGGTGCATTGTTTGAGGTGCATTGTTTGAGGTGCATCGTTTGAGGTGCATGGTTTGAGGTGCATGGTTTGAGGTGCATGGTTTGAGGTGCATGGTTTGAGGTGCATGGTTTGAGGTGCATGGTTTGAGGTGCATTGTTTGAGGTGCATTGTTTGAGGTGCATAGTTTGAGGTGCATCGTTTGAGGTGCATCGTTTGAGGTGCATTGTTTGAGTCGACTCAAAAGCCACGACGAGCTTTTGAAAGCCCTTACTTTTCCCAAGGTGCATTGTTCGAAGCGGCTCGAGAATGAGCTGATGGAGGTTCTTCCTTTGCCTGATGTGTGCGGGTGATTCCACACTCGAGGCGAGGCAGTGAATTTCGAATGTTCCTTGTTCGGCCGCCCCCTCCTTGGCTGCTCAGTCTGTTGCTCGCTCATTTCTCTGCTGCTCCTTACAGGATTAGATGACTTTTGAGCCGACTCAATAGTCACCTCGTCTTTCATTCCCTCTCTTCCTTTGCCAATCCTGAAGTGCCCTTCTGCGGCGCCTCAAAAGTTTCCAAAAGTGCTCCTTCGTTTCAACCCCTTTCCCCATTTGCCAATGCAGGAGAGTGCGTCTCCCTCCTCCCTCTCCACCATCACCGGCGGCGACTCTGCTGCCCCTGCACAGGTAGGTTGGTTTTCTAGTCGACTCAGCTTTTGAGACGACTAAAGAGCTACTGCTGCACAGGTAGGTTGGTTGGTCATAAGGTGTCATGCATATCTTCTCTCCCCTCTCCCCCTCCCTCTCCCGTTTCCCCCTCCCCTCCCTCTCCCTCTCCCTCTCTCCTCTCCCCCTCTCCCTCCCCCTCCCTCTCCCCTCTCCCTCTCCCTCTCCCCCTCCCCTCTCCCTTTCCCTCTTTCTCTCCCCTCTCCCCCTCCCCCTCCCCTCCCTTTTGAGTCGTCGCCTCGTCCCACCCTACGCCTCCCTCTCCACCATCACTGGCGGCAACTCTGCTACCCCTGCACAGGTAGGTTGGTTTTCTAGTCGACTCAGCTTTTGAGTCGACTAAAAAGCTACCACTGCACAGATAGGTTGGTTTTCTTTTGAGTCGACTAAAAAGCTACCACTGCACAGATAGGTTGGTTTTCTTTTGAGTCGACTAAAAAGCTACCACTGCACAGATAGGTTGGTTTTCTTTTGAGTCGAGTCAGTTTTGAGTCGACTAAAAAGCTGCCACTGCACAGGTAGGTTGGTTTTCTTTTGAGTCGACTAAAAAGCTACCACTGCACAGGTAGGTTGGTTGGTCGTTAGGTGTGATGCACATGTCCCCTCTCCTCATCCTCCTCCTTCTGAGTTGACTCAAAGGTCACCTCCACCCGGTCCTTCACTCTCTCCTCCTCCTCCTCCTCCCTCTCCTCCTCCCTCTCCTCCTCCCTCTCCTCCGCCCTCTCTGCCTCCCACTCCTCCTCCCTCTCCTCCTCCCTCTCCTCCTCCCTCTCCTCCCTCTCCTCCTCCCTCTCCTCCTCCCTCTCCTCCTCCTCCCTCTCCTCCTCCCTCTCCTCCTCCCTCTCCTCCGCCCTCTCTGCCTCCCACTCCTCCTCCCTCTCCTCCTCCCTCTCCTCCTCCCTCTCCTCCTCCTCCCTTTCCTCCTCCCTCTCCTCCTCCCTCTCCTCCTCCCTCTCCTCCGCCCTCTCTGCCTCCCACTCCTCCTCCCTCTCCTCCTCCCACTCCTCCTCCCTCTCCTCCTTCCTCTCCTCCTCCCTCTCCTCCTCCCTCCTCTCCTCCGACTCCTCCTCCCTCTCCTCCTCCCTCCCCTCCTCCCTCTCCTCCTCCCTCTCCTCCTCCCTCTCCTCCTCCCTCTCCTCCTCCCTCTCCTCCTCCCTCTCCTCCTCCCTCTCCTCCTCCCACTCCTCCTCCCTCTCCTCCTCCCTCTCCTCTCTCTCCTCCTCCCACTCCTCCTCCCACTCCTCCTCCCTCTCCTCCGCCCTCTCCTCTTCCCTCTCCTCCTCCCTCCCCTCCTCCCACTCCTCCCTCCCCTCCTCCCTCTCCTCCTCCCTCTCCTCCTCCCTCCCCTCCTCCCTCTCCTCCTCCCTCTCCTCCTCCCTCTCCTCCTCCCTCTCCTCCTCCCCTCCTCCTCCCTCTCCTCCTCCCTCTCCTCCTCCCTCTCCTCCTCCCTCTCCTCCTCCCTCTCCTCCTCCCTCTCCTCCTCCCTCTCCTCCTCCCCCCCGCCTCCCTCTCCTCCCTCTCCACTATCACCAAGAGCGACTCTGCTGCCGCTGCAAAGGTAGGCCAAATGTTGGGAAGAGCAGCACAGTGAACGCGCGGCTGGGAGACGGTGGTGCAGCATGTGTCAGGAAAAGAGCGGTGGTCTTCCCCTGTCCCCTCCCCTGTGCTGGGGGAGGATGGTCTTCCCCTGTCCCCTCCCCCCATCCCCTCCCCTGCAGCTGTGTCGAGTGGCGCTGGCCATCGCGGGTCGGCCCAATGTGGGCAAGAGCAGCATAGCGAACGCGTTTTTTGGGGGGGATGCTGTGTGATTTGAGTCAGGAGAATAGTGATGGTCTTTTCTGTCTCTCCCCCCACACCCCCCTACAGCTTGGTCGAGTGGCGCTGGCGATTGTGGGTCGGCCCAACGTGGGCAAGAGCAGCATCGTGAATGCGCTGCTGGGGGAGGAGAGGACGATTGTGAGCCCTGTCAGTGGCACCACGCGTGACGCCATCGACTCCAAGTTCACCGGGCCGGATGGTCAGGTGAGGTGGTTGATTGGCGCGTGTTTGATGCAGCCCTCTGTTGGCTCATGGTTGAGTTGAGCGTGAGGAAGAGAAGCATAGCGAAGTGAACGCGCTGCTGGGGGAGGAGAGGACGTTTGTGAGCCCTGTCAGTGGCACCGCATGGGATGCCATCGATTCCAAGTTCACCGGGCCAGATGGGCAGGTGTGTCATTAGATAGCACTATGAGTTAGCACTGGTAAGTGGTGTCAGGTGCCCTTGCAGCGCCACAACGCGTGATGCCAGTGATTCCAAGCTCACTGGTCCAGATGGGCACGTGGGCCTTGAATCCTGCGTCTATTTGCATGTAGCTTTTTTTATTGGCAAATGTCCCCTTCACTTCATGGTGAACGCGCTGCTGAGGGAGGAGAGGACCATTTTGAGTGGGCCCTGTCAGCCGTACCAGTTTTGAAGCACCTCAAAACTGGACCAGCGTGAGCCCTGTCAGCCGCACCACAAGGGATGCCATCGACTCTAAGTTGCAGAGGTGAGGTGAGCAGGAGAGCATGAGTTGCAGCAGCAGCAGGCAGCAAGGCAAAGTGTCTGTCGATGAACGGAGCATTCATGCTCCCCTTTCGCCCTCCTCCCTCATACATTCTGAAAGAAACAGCAGGAGTGCACAGCGCAGGAGAGGAGGTGGCAGCAGCAGGCAGCAAGGCAGAGAGCCTGTCTGTGAACCGAGCATTGATGCTATCCGCCCTCCCACCGTCCACCCCTCTCTTTCCCCTTCCGCCCCTCTCTTTCCCCTTCCGCCCCTCTCTTTCCCCTTCCGCCCCTCTCTTTCCCCTTCCGCCCCTCTCTTTCCCCTTCCACCCCTCTCTTTCCCCTTCCGCCCCTCTCTTTCCCCTTCCACCCCTCTCTTTCCCCTTCCGCCCCTCTCTTTCCCCTTCCGCCCCTCTCTTTCCCCTTCCACCCCTCTCTTTCCCCTTCCGCCCCTCTCTGCAGAAGTACACTCTGATCGACACGTCAGAGCCTGTCCGTGAACCGAGCACAGATGCACACTTCCCTCCCTCCTTCCGCCCCTCTCTCTTCCCTCTCCCCCTCCCCCCCTCCTTCCTCCCCTAGCAGGAGTACACTCTGATCGACACGGCGGGGGTGAGGAGGAGGGCGGCGGTGGCAGCAGCAGGCAGCAAGGCAGAGAGCCTCTCTGTGAACCGAGCCCTGAGGGCTGTGAGGAGGGCGGATGTAGTGGGGCTGGTGGTCGACGCCATGCTGTGCGTCACAGAGCAGGTGAGTGCTGCCATTGCTTGCTAGTGAGTTTAGGGTTTCGGGTTTAGGGGTTTCAGGTTTAGAGCAGATAGAGAGAGAGGGCACGGCGTGTGTGCGGATAGCCAACACGTGGGACACGGCACCTCACAATGCCAGCTACCCACGCCGCCCCCAATTCTTCCCTCCCCCTCTCTTTTTCCACCAATCTTCTCTGTCATCTCCTGGTCTCTATTGCTGCTCCTGTCTGCAGGACCTGCGTCTGGCAGAGCAGATAGAGAAAGAGGACAAGGCGTGCGTGCTGATAGTGAACAAGTGGGACACGGTGCCTGATAAATACGCCACCAGTAGCACTCTCACCCACTCTTTCCCACTCTTCCTCTGTCTCTATTCCCTCTCACCCCTCACCTCCCCCCCTCAGGACCTGCGTCTGGCAGAGCAGATCGAGAAAGAGGGCAAGGCGTGCGTGCTGATAGTGAACAAGTGGGACACTGTGCCGGATAAAGACGCCACCAGCACGGTCAGCTACACGGAGGATGTGCGCCAGAAGCTCAGGTCCATGCCGTGGGCTCCGCTGGTGTTCACGTCTGCTACAACAGGGCAAAGGGTTGCCAAGTAAGTGGCTGGGGGTTTGAGTGTATGCGTGAGTGGGGATGGGTCCAAGTGAGCAGATAAAGGTGTCACCAGCACGGTCAGCTACACGGAGGACGTGCGCGAGAAGCTCAGGTCCATGCCGTGGGCTCCCCTCGTCTTTACATCTGCCACTACAGGCCAAAGGTTTGAAAAGTGAGTGGCTGTGTGTGTGGCATCTGTGTGAATACAAGTGGGTCGGAAAAAGACGCCACCAGCACGGTCAGCTACACGGAGGACGTGCGGGAGAAGCTCAGGTCCATGCCGTGGGCTCCACTGGTGTTCACGTCTGCTACAACAGGGCAAAGGGTTGCCAAGTAAGTGGCTGGGGGTTTGAGTGTATGCGTGAGTGGGGATGGGTCCAAGTGAGCAGATAAAGGTGTCACCAGCACGGTCAGCTACACGGAGGACGTGCGCGAGAAGCTCAGGTCCATGCCGTGGGCTCCCCTCGTCTTTACATCTGCCACTACAGGCCAAAGGTTTGAAAAGTGAGTGGCTGTGTGTGTGGCATCTGTGTGAATACAAGTGGGTCGGAAAAAGACGCCACCAGCACGGTCAGCTACACGGAGGACGTGCGGGAGAAGCTCAGGTCCATGCCGTGGGCTCCACTGGTGTTCACGTCTGCTACAACAGGGCAAAGGGTTGCCAAGTAAGTGGCTGGGGGTTTGAGAAGCTCAGGTCCATGCCGTGGGCTCCCCTCGTCTTCACGTCGGCAACCACGGCGCAAAGGGCTCAAAAGTGAGTGGCTGTCGGTGTGGGTATGTGCGGGCACAATTCAGCCTGGGAAGGAACCCACCAGCATGGTCAGCTACACGGACGACGTGGGCGAGAAGCTCGAATCCATGCCGTGGGCTCCGCTGGTGTTCACCTCTGCCACAACAGGGCAAAGGGTTCAAAAGTGAGTCGCCGTGTGTGTGTATCTGGGTGGGCACAAATGGGTCTGACAAAGACGCCAGCAGCACAGCCAGCTGCACGCAGGACGTGTGGGAGAAGCTCCGATCCATGCCGTGGGCTCCGCTGGTGTTCACCTCTGCTACGACAGGGCAAAGGGTTGCCAAGTGAGTGGCTGTGGGTTTGAGTGCAAGTGAGTGGATAAAGACGCCAGCAGCACGGTCAGCTACATGGAGGACGTGCGCGAGAAGCTCCGCTCCATACCATGAGCTCCCCTCGTCTTCACCTCGGCAACGACTGGTCAAAGGGTTCAAAAGTGAGTGGTTGAGTTCGGTGTGTGTGTGTACATACATGTAGGTAAGCTTTGGTCGCCGCCAGCACGGTCAGCCACACTGAGAACCATGGGCGAGAAGCTGAGGTCCATGCCCTGGGCTCCCCTGGTGTTCACGTCTGCTACAGCTGGGCAGAGGGTTCAAAAGTGAGAAGCTATCTGCGTGGGTACCTTTGTGGGTGCAAGTGAGTCTGGCAAAGGCGCCAGCAGCACGGCCAGCTACACTCAGGAGGTGCATGGGAAGCTGCGGTCCATTATGCCCTAGGCTCCGCTGCTGGTCTCCCACCAGTGTGTTGCCATCTCGTCTGGTGTCTTTCGGCCGTATTTATTCCCGACGCGTATAGCAGCTGTCAGTGGCTTTGAGGGGCCTTTTGAGTCAACTGAAAAGTCATCTTGCTGCTTCGGTTCACGTCTGCCTCCACCAGTGGGTTGCAAAGTGAGTGACCCTCGGTTGTATTTTGTCCCGACGCATGTAGTGGCTGTCTGTGGCTCTACATCTTTGTGGCCTCAGCAAAGGACTCCTCTCACTCACACACGTGCTCATGCACGTGCACACTCTCTCACACACACACACTCACACACACACACACACACCATGGTATGACACACGCACACGCTCACGCACAAATTCCTTTTGTTCCTCTTCTCTCTACTCAATTCTCAGGATTTTGGAAGCTGCCCGTTTTGCTGCCCAGCAGCGGGCCAAGCGCCTCACGACAGCCACTCTGAACCAAGTGGTCGGAGAGGCCGTTTCTTTTCAGCTGCTGCCCGGAGGCGGCAAGGGTAACAAGCGAGGGAAAATCTACTACAGCACACAAGCAGCAACTAACCCTCCAACCTTCGTGTTTTTCGTTAACGACGCGAAACTTTTCGGGCAGCAGTACCGACGATACATGGAAAATCAGCTTCGGGAGAACATTGACTTTGAGGGCACGCCGATCCGGCTGCTCTGGCGAAGCAAGCGCCGAACCAGACCAGTAGGTTCGGAAGGAGAAGGGACGGGAGAGGCAGGGACAGGAGGAAGATCGGGAGGAGAGCGGGGCAAAGGAGTGGAGAGTGGTGGAGAGAAGGGACGAGGAAGAGGGGGGAGAGGCGGAAGAGGAGGGAGAGGTGGGAGAGGAGGGAGAGGGAGTGGAAGTAAGAGTGGGAGGGCCACATCTGGTTGAAGGAATGAGGAAAGTGTGAAGCTGAACAGATATTCTGGTAGGCAGGAATAGTAGGAAAGGGATAAGGACAAGGTCAATGCGTATGCCACTGTACTGTAGATGTGATCTTTTGTACATTTCAGGCTGGTAATGCTGCTACATGTGCATATCAACCACCATGATACACCGCACTGGATACAAATGACAGCATACAGAATCGACAAATCTCCACTTAATTGGCACAAGCGCGAAACTTGAGATAACGCAGAGAATTAAGGATTTGAAGCTCGACTGGTGGAAACACAACCACAGGTGTAGCAGATAGCAGGTAGCGGGTAGCAGGCTGAGGTTGCAGTCAGAGCAACCACGGGTTGGGAATCTGGTTGACAGTAACAGTCAACCATTGACCGCGGTTGACTGTTGACTGTGGTTGACTGTTCCTGGCCTTATTTGAGCCCTTCTACTGGTCGGGGCTGTTAAAATTATATATTGTGTTATATAATTGTTAGGCTTGGTAGGTTACTGAACTTTACTGTAGAGGGTACAACACCCCTCCTTGTATCCCTCTCTCTTCTATTCCCAAACTCTTTTTCTCTCCTCAATTTTCCTAGCACCTAAAACCTCTCGCCATTCTCATGGCTCCTCCTAGCTCCTAGCTAAACCTTGTGCCATTCTATGGCTTCCTAGCTAAGCTAGTCTTTTGACATGGTATTAGAGCAGTTCGTTCCTTGTGGGCCTGCTCCTCGAGTTTCCGCTGCGTGCTCGTTCCTCTCTCTATCTCGCGCTGCCATGGCGGCCGCGTCAAGCTGCTGTGGCCGTGTCGTCGTGCCGCGGCATCGCCGTCGACGTTCATGGCGCCCGCGTCCAGCTGCTATGGCCGCGCCGTCGTACCGCAGCTCCGCCGTCGCGTCAAGCTGCTGTTGCGACGTGACGGCGCCGTCACGCTGCCGCGGCGTCTACGCGACAGCGCGCGGTCGGCGTGACGGCGACGTCGTGCTGCCGTCGCAGCGTCGACGTCCCGCTGCGGCATCGACGCCGCTCCATGACGGCGTCGTCGGGCTGCAGCCGGCCACGCGACGCCTGTGGTGCCGCTAGACCGGCCGCCCGCATGTCAGCCTGTGGCGTCCCCCCCCCCCCCACCCCCCCTCCTTCCCCTGTGTCCTCTTCCTTTCCACAGACGACGGCTGACTCCCGCCGGCCGTCCCACCGTCGCGGGGCCTGGCCACGTCACCGAGAGGTGCGGGTGCCGCCGCCGCCGCCGCTGATGTCGAAGCCACCGCCACCGCCGCTGTCGCCGCTTGCGTCGGGGCCACGCAGCCGCACGCCGCCGCCGCCGCCGCTGTCGACACTGCCGCCGTTGCCGCCGTCGCCACCGCAGCCCCTGCGGTCGACGTCGCCGCCTCACGCGCCGTGGGGTCGACCGACCTAGTGTCGCTGTCACTGTGGCTGGAATGGGGGTGCTAGGTTAGGGGGTGTGGGTGTGTGTGGGCATGTGACTACCAAGCCTAGGGGGTGTGTTAAAATTATATATTGTGTTATATAATTGTTAGGCTTGGTAGGTTACTGAACTTTACTGTAGAGGGTACAACACCCCTCCTTGTATCCCTCTCTCTTCTATTCCCAAACTCTTTTTCTCTCCTCAATTTTCCTAGCACCTAAAACCTCTCGCCATTCTCATGGCTCCTCCTAGCTCCTAGCTAAACCTTGTGCCATTCTATGGCTTCCTAGCTAAGCTAGTCTTTTGACAGGGGCATCCGTGTTAAGACTAGAAAGAATGATTAGAAGAAGGGAGAACATGGGAGATATAGCATTTGGGTTGTACCCACTAAGAACATACCCTATCTAGCCTATAACTTCTACATATTATAATTTTTTAACACACGCAGTGTTTTTCAAAAATTGTCTATTGTGAAAGCAAAGCTGATTGTACTGAAGCATTGGGCATCGTCGAAGCGCGCTACTCGCCCTTCTCCAACTACGCGCACCCACTTGAAATGAGAACGATGCCATTGCAAGGACAAGAAAGCAAGCTTTCTCAATAACAATATATGTATAAGTTGACACACCCCCTAGGCTAGATAAGGGGTAGTGCAGAGCAAGAAACATGCAGCTCAGGGTGGCACTACTAGTCCAACCTCTGAGGCAGGGGCCCGAAGACCCGTCAGCAAGAGTACTGAAATAAATCGTCTGATGTTGTAGTAGACTAAGTATAAAACTATAAACAAGAACACTTGGCAAATCCTCAAGTGTTGGTCCAGGATCTTTGCTGGAATGGTAGACTAGTAAGACAGCGGAAGTCTTGTAACATGTAAAGGTCAAGGTTGAATAACCTGAGTACGTGAACTTGTGAGTAATCAAAGTTAATAATGAAAAAGACCTAATAGAGATTTATAGTTCTACGAAAAGTACCTATTCGCTAATGTACCTGTTCGTCACTATCGCGCTATGCGCCCTAGATGATAATGAAGGGGTGCGACTGTTCGCGTGACTGAAACGACTGTCCTATGACGAGCGCTATTTGCTGACGTCATCCTACGGACTTATCTTCTACAGTATGATTCGACACTAACTACACATAATCGACTTACAGAAATGCTAAGTATCAAATATATCACAACACTCCCCTTCATTTCTGGAAGTTCGATAGTGTCACTTCTTGAAGATTCCGCAGAGCTTGTTACAGTACTGAAACTTCTGTCGTGTCAGCTTCTTCGTAAGAAAATCGGCAGCCATTTCGTTGGTCGAACAGTAGACCAATCGCATCCTCCCCTTCTCGACTTCATCTTTGACGAAAAATAACGAAGCGAAATATGTTTCGTTCTGTTGACGAAACCAGGCTGATGTGCGATGCGAATCGCACTTTGATTGTCGCACTGTAGGGTAAACTGGGTAGTTGTCGTCAACTTCGCTTCTTCCAATAGTTCCTGTAAGTAAAGTCCTTCGTGTGTTGCTGTGCAGACAGCAATAAACTCAGCTTCAGTAGAGGAGAGTGCAATCAGCTTCTGCTTCGTAGAATTCCAAGAGATAGGTCCGATAGGCTCCAGTCGATAGATGAACCCAGTGCGTGACCGTCGATTAGTAGAATCAGCAGCGTGATCGGCGTCGACAAAACCGTGTAGATAGAATGTTTTACAACCAATGACGTTGTAGACTAATCCGACGTCAGGTGTCGAGATAAAATACTGAAGCGTGCGGAGAAGATCAAGCTGATGCTCCTCCTCAGGACGGCGTAGGAACTGTGCGAGCTGACTGGCCGCATAGGCTAGATCAGGACGACAAGTGACAGCGGCGAAAAGTAGACAGCCTAGCTGCTGTTGATAGATCTGTAAACCGGTTGAAGTTAACGGTGCGGTGTTCGGTTTGTAGTCAGTCGGTAGTGAGCGGTACGGTGTAGAGACTGCAGTAGGTGTGAGGTTGAAGCGGGCAGCGAGTGTTGCTGCATACTTCGAAGCGGTGAGATGAATAGTTGTCGGTGAACAGGTAATGTTCAGTCCAAGAAACTGTGTGACTGTTTCGGAGACGGTAAGCTGTAGATTTTCCTGTAATTTCAGTATGAAGGTCTCGGCAAGGGAATCGGTAGTACTGATGTATAGGATGTCATCGACGTAGGCGACGAGTAAAATATACTTCCTGCCGTCGGTCAGTAGATACATCCCCTGATCATGCGGTAACTGTCGAAATCCAGCAATGATCAGCTGCGAGTGAAGATACAGGATGAGTGCGTCGACAGGCGCGTAGAGAAACGCATTCGAGACGTCGATTTGGCGAAGACGTAGATTACGACAGGCGGCGACACAAAGAAGAACTCGAACGCTCGTATGTCGCCCGACAGGGGCGAAGGTTAGTTCATAGTCGATGCCGTAAGTCTGCTCGAATCCGCGGACGACCCATCGCGCTTTGAACATTTCAAACGACCCGTCTGAATTTGTCTTGACGCGGAAAACCCATTTTCCCGGTAAGTACCTTCTTCCCTTTTACTTCTGAAGTCGGTATTAAATCCCATGTTCCGCGATTCTTGAGAGCTGCTAGCTCTCTGTCCATGGCTTCGCGCCATTTCTCTCGGTGAGGACTCGTAAGAGCTTGTCGAACGGTTTTCGGTTCAGGTATCTTACTGTCGTTGCACTGTACTGCTACTGCAAATCCCAGTATCTGCAATCCTGTTTCTGTAAAACGCAGACGTTCTTCGTTTGCACCTGCGAAATTTTCTTCTGCTCCTTCTTCCCCCCCAATTTCGTCAGGTGTAACACGAACTGCTTCGTCAGAGACGGCGGGCATCGGCTGCTGTTGGCGATCGCGTTCGTAACTGAGACGAACTTCGCAAACATCATCCGTGTCAGCATCTGCAAGTGGAATAAACTCTGGTATGCCAGTCGAGGTTACAGGTTCGGGAATGTCAGTTGCAGCAGCTTCGGATGCTTCAGAAACTGTTTCGTCCTGTACATCAGCTTCGGCTTCGTCAGTTGCAAACGCACGCGAGCCTTCGAACAGCCTGGCAGGATTGGCGGCTGCTGCCTGGTGGGCACAAAAAACGGGCAAGGTGAGTCTTTCATAGAAAAGACAATCACGTGATGGAACGATTTGATGGGAGCGAAGGTCCAAAATCTTCCACGCGTGATACGGTTTTTCGATGCCGAGGTGTACCCCCCATTTTGCTCGTTCAGAAAATTTTCCGAGTGCTGCGGTTGGAGGACGAAACTGTACAACACACCCGAAAACTCGTAAAAGTTTTGTGTTTCCCAATGTACGTGTCCACTGCAGATGCGGAGAAGAAAACTCGGGCAGGGACGTTGAAGAAAGAAGATTGTGTACCAGCACGGCGTGGTCCATCGCATATGGCCAAAAATGCGGTGGAAGTGCTGCGTGCGTCAGCAGAGCACGCATCTTCTCCTGCAGTGTTCTGTTCATCCTTTCTGCTACCCCCATCTATTGATGTGCATGCGGCAGGAACTGCTTCCGTTTGATGCCGAGTGTCTGAAGGTAGTCTGTGAAAGTGTTGCTGGTGTATTCCCCTGCACCATCACTCTGAAATTCTTGCAGTTTCGCGCCAGACTCACGTTCAGCGACAGCGAGCCATGCAACGAAGACGGAGTGAGCAAGATGGCGCGCAGGTAAGTTAGCTGTCCAGACATATCGTGTAGACGCTTCGATGAATGTTATCACATACTTCTCGTCTTTAGGGCCTGCTTCAGACAAGTTGAGTATGTCGCTGTAGACTTTCTGCATCAGTTGATAACGCGTTGAGCCGGGAAAATGACTTGGAAACGGATCGTGCGTAAGGTTGGCAACTGGACAAGTGGTGCAAACCGTCGGACGAGACTGCGGCTTCATCTCCGTGCCATCAGGTAAAAGTAAACTATTTTTATCAAGAACTGCTGCTCGGATTGAATGATTGAGAATCCCTTGTGATGGATGTCCTAGTCGCTGATGCCGTATATCTTCCGTCGCTTTGTGTCCTGATGATCGCATGTAAATTCAGAGTTAGTATAAAAGGAAGAAAGGATGAAAGGAGAAAGAGCTGGTGACTTGTCAATCTCTCCTTCGACGAAACGGGTAAGAGGTAACGTGACTTGTGTGATTGCTGCTGCAGGTGCGAGTAAATCCCCTGATACTGCTTCTGTTGATGTCGTGGCAGGTGTTTCGGCGACAGCTACGGTTGGACTCGGCTGCTCAGCTACGGCTTCCTGTTCGGCTTCTTCAACAACGTCAGGTTCATCAGCGGCAAGACCACTGATTTCTCCCCAAAGTGGTGCTGGTGTTCCTTGGAAGGCTGCACGGGTATTATAAAACGTTCGCCACGCGGTGGCGCTTTCATCGGCGGTATTGAACTCCCAGGTATCCAACGTGGTAAGTACTGCGGCTACTGTTCGAGAAGCTGTTGGTACTGAAGTTGCCCGAAAATCAATGTCCACATGTTGATAATCTGTTTCTTCTGGGTGATCCCAGGGACCAAGTGCAAGCACGTGTTCAGAATCTCCAGAAGTTCCCTGTGCTGCGAACTGAAGAACTGACACGCCATGTTGAGTGGCGGCACGACCAAGGTAGGTATTAGTTGTACTGTGCCAGAGCTCTTGATCCATCGTCTCACAATTTCCTTGTGTACGGATTTTGTGTGCCAGGAGCTGAGCCGTGGAAAGAAGGTTGAAGCCAAGTCCGGCAACGATAAGAACATTCGTAACATGAAGTGAGTATCCCGTGTCGATAGATTCGAGCATGACACTGCCAACTGATCGTGCCATTATTGTTTGTCCATTTGCGACTGTGACAGGTATCGGACGACGAAGTGGACGCTGATTTGTGATAAAGCTTGTTTCGACAGAACACATATGCCATCCGCAGCAGCTGTCGAGATACCAGGTATTTGGTCCTGAAATTATGCGAGCAAGGTTAGCGTAAACTTGAGGTAAAGGAATGCCTTCAGCACTTGTTGTTTCTTCAAGTCGTGTTTCGAAATCTGTTTCTGAAACATTAACTGTGGTGACGCAGCCAAAAACCCCTTTTCCTGATGTGGCAGATGCGAAGACCGGCGGACGATGCTGCGACGTAGATGGATTTGGTGGCGGTTTCGGTATCTGCTGCTGCTGAGACGTTAACTGCTGCTGTGGCAGTTGTGTCTTCGGTAACTGCTACGATCGTTGATACGGCTGCGAAGTATTGCGACGATTTTGATGACGGCTGCGACAGTTTTGGTAAGTATGTCCTGATTTTTTACAGAAATGGCAGAACGGGTACTTTGGTGGATGTCGATGTTGTGTTTCTGGATTGGAGTAAAAACTTAAATGAACTCCCCTTTTCTGGTTGCGTTGTGACTGCAGGTCAAGATCTTGCTGCTCTGCTTGAAGATAAGAAGAAATTTTAGCTTCGGAGAGGTTGGGATTCATGCGCAGGAAGGCGCGCGTCTGTCGCCATTCGGGTCCAAGGCCAGCAAAAGGACTGTGAGATACATCTCACGAGGGAAGTATCCTCCGCTTTTCTCCAGTTGGTCACGTAATGTACGGACGCGATTAACGTAGTCCATGACGTTTTCATTTGTCATCATCTGCACACTTGTCAGCTGCGAAAGTATTTTACTCACTGTTATCGTATCTTTTGCCATGTATACCCCTTTCAGATGGTTCCATGCAGTTTCGGCTGGTGTAAAACTTGAGTGAAATGATCGAACGCCGAGCTGCTCCTTCGGCGACAAGTTCCGTACAAGAACTGTATACGCCCCGAGAGAGGCATGTAAGAAACTCTGCTGCTCCAGTTGTGTTCTCGTAATAGGATAGGTGAAATCTCCGGTGAAGAACGGCCAAAGCCCAGCGGACTGCGCCAGAAGCTCAAACTCGAAGCTCCAGGAGTAGAAGTCGACACCATTAAAAAGTATGGTCGTCTTGATTTGAGTATTGTTAAGTAAATTTGGAGGCTGAAAAAGGACACTTGGCTGTTGCTGCTATTGCTGTTGCTGTTGCTGTTGTTGTTGCTGTTGCTGTTGCTGTACTTGCTGTGGTTGCTGAGACTGCTGTTGTTGTTGCTGAGCAGGGGAACGACCGAAGATATAAAAAGGATGCTGAAACTGCTGCGATTGTGGCTGCTGTACGAAAGGTGAGAAAGCAAACGAACCAGTACTTGGAGCTGTAGCTCCACGCATGTAACCTGAGCCGTCAAGGCTCATTCCACTGAACGCAGATGAAATTGATTGCGTTGAAACTGGTGGCTGTGCTGACGCTTGTTGCTGTGTTGTCGTCTGTGATTGTTGCTGTTGCGTTGCAGGTGCAGTCGATGGAGCATCTGGAGTATTCACAGAAGGCGGATTCTGCTGTTGCGTACCGATATTAGCGTAGGCTGGTGGAAAATGCCCAGAGGCTGAGAGACCAGCGGCCGTAGTGGAGGCATATGCTCCAGTAGTCCCAGTAACTGATCCGGCAGATGGTGCTGGTGATGAACCAGTCATAGTTGACGGTAGTCTTAATTCCAGATAGCTCTCATACCATGAAATAAATCGTCTGATGTTGTAGTAGACTAAGTATAAAACTATAAACAAGAACACTTGGCAAATCCTCGAAGTGTTGGTCCAGGATCTTTGCTGGAATGGTAGACTAGTAAGATAGCGGAAGTCTTGTAAAATGTAAAGGTCAAGGTTGAATAACCTGAGTACGTGAACTTGTGAGTAATCAAAGTTAATAATGAAAAAGACCTAACACAGATTTATAGTTCTACGAAAGTACCTATTCGCTAATGTACCTGTTCGTCACTATCGCGCTATGCGCCCTAGATGATAATGAAGGGGTGCGACTGTTCGCGTGACTGAAACGACTGTCCTATGACGAGCGCTATTTGCTGACGTCATCCTACGGACTTATCTTCTACAGTATGATTCGACACTAACTACACATAATCGACTTACAGAAATGCTAAGTATCAATTATATCACAACAAGTACAAGCAAGACAGAGCAAACCAGGGCGGCACTACTAGTCCAACCACTGGAGGAAAAGCCACAAGGCCAGTCTGCAAGGTATAAACAGAAAGGAGTACACAATCAAGGGTCTAGCAAGTGAGAGTCAACAGGGACTAGACCTAACTGCAAGCAGTGCCGCTGATGATCTCTAGGCGGAAGCCCTTAGTAAAGATATCAGCTGTGTTGGCACTAGAGGCCAAGTGTACTACGCGGGCCTGGCGACGCTGCTGAAGCTCGCGCAGAAGGAAGTACCGCAGTTGGATGTGCTTCGCTCTGCCCTCAAGTCGAGGCAGAGCTAGGCCGGTCACCTAAGTCGGCATACAAGAAGGTCAGCCAGCGGAGCTCCTGTGCCGCCATGGCACCGGCATAGATCTCAGCCTCGCACCTAGACTGAGCAACAGATGAGGAGCGAGTGGACCTCCACGAGATGGCACAAGAACTAAGGCTAAAGCAGTAGCCCTGGGAGGACCAGAGGGTCTCAGTGTCGTCTGCCCAAGAAGCGTCTGTGTGCCCTGTAAGGACCACGGGCCTGCGTCCTCCCAGCACTAGCCCCATGCCCGATGTACTTGCTAGATAACACAAAACCTTCTTAGCGGCTGACCAGTGCTGTGGTTGGTGTCTGCCTGTGGCCACAAAGCTGGCCAGGATGCTGAGAGGGTATGCGAGATTAGGGCGAGTGCAAGTCATCAGGTACATGAGGCAACCCACCAGCTTTGCGTAAGGACCACTGGGCTCTGCTGACTCCTCGGGAACTGGAGCTGAGAGCCTGTGGTCTAACGGCAGAGGTGTGGGCTGTGCGGAGGAGAACTGAAGACTGAACCTCTGAAGGACGTGGCGCACCAAGTGTGACTGTGTAAGAGTGATGGTGCGCGCTGCTCTGTCCCTGGAGATCTGCAGGCCAAGGTAGCGGCGCAGCTCTCCTAGGTCAGTGCAGGTGTGTTGCCTCAGCAGCTCAGCCTTCATGGAGGCCAGCGCGTCTCTGTCTGCTGTAGCCAAGACCAGGTCGTCTACGTAGACCAGGATGTAGAACGGAGTCTGGCCAGCATGAACGAAGAGCGAAGGGTCAGCAGAGGACGGAAAGAACTGCAGGTCAGCTAGTGTGGCACGCAGCGTGTTGTGCCACTCACGGGGCGCCGGAGGAGCCACTGGGTCCCAAGAGGGAAAGTACCGGTGAAGCCCTGAGGGCGGCGCAGGTAGACCTGCTTGTGTAGGCTGCCCTGAAGGAAAGCACTGGAGAAGTCGAGGAGTGAAGCTCGTAGTCATGCTATGCTGCTACGTGTAGCAGCGCCCGAAAAGTAGTCATCTTCGGGGTTGGGGCGAAGGTCTGAAAGAAGTCCACCCCCTCTCGCTGACTGAAGCCTCTAGCCACGTAGCGCGCCTTGAACATAGGCGACTCTCCAGGGGGGCGCTTCACCTTGAAGAGCCACCGGCCATCGACTACGTTCACCCCATGGCAACTATCCACTGTGAGGCCCAGGGTCCCGAGGTTGCCTCAGCGTAGGTGCGAGGGGTCGGGATGTCAAAGGCGTCGGGGTCACCCTCAGGGACTAGCAGTATGGAACAAACATGGGGAGCAGCCTCTGACAGGTAAGCAAGCTCGTACTGCCGGTCCTCCAAGACGTCACTCCCGAGGACAGGAGCACGCCCGACGGACTGAGGACAGACAGGGTCAGAGACCAGAGCGGTAGCGAAGTCGAGGCGGCGACTAGAGGCAAAGTCAGCAAGAACAGCTACAAGAGCGTCAAGACTGGAGACAGGAACAGACGGGTCGGTAACGAGAGAGGTAAGGACCCGAGGAACAAGAGGACGAGCAGCACGAAGGTAGTCATACAGAGGGGGAGGCGCGACAGTGAGCGACGACGGAGGAGGAGAAGGCAAACAGGGAGGACGAGACGCGTGGGAAAGAAGCAACATAGGGTGAGAACACTGAACAGGAGAGACAGCACGAGCACGAGAGGGACGGCGAGACCAGACGTGAGACGGAGGCATCGGGTCAGGAGAAAGAGTAGGAGTAACAGGAGGGGAACGAGAGGGGAAACGAGCCGGGGATGAGTCCGGCGGAGGAAACACAGGACCGTGAACAGGAAGAGGGGGAGACGGTGAGGGAGGCGCAGGCGAGCAGTCAGGGGAGGGAAGGCCGAGCAGGCGAAGGGCGGACACCGGCGGCGGCTGCTGCTGCTGCTGCTGCTCAACGCCGACACCTGGACCACCAACTGCACCACTGCTACCTCCGGTACACTCCACGCCAGCACCCCAAGAACGAGAAACGCCGCCAGTGCCGGTGCCACCCCCTAGCCCGCCGGGACAAGCCACGACAGGAGCCCCAGGACTAGCACCCTCTCCAACTCCAGCACCCCCTGAGTCCACGAACGGTTGCGGCTGCGACGACGGCTGCAGCTGCGGGGCCGGTGACGGTGGCGGACGCGGCGCCGGCTGCGGCTGCGGCGGCGGCTGGGAGGAGGGAGGTGGAGACACCGGGGGAGGGACAGGTGGTGCAGAGTCATTGGAGTCAACCGACTCCTCGACCGGGACAACCGACGGGAGGGGAGTGACGTGAGACACACCAGACGGAGCAGGACCGGGGGGAAGGGGAGCAGGGGTGACTGGGGGAGTGGGAACCAGAAACAAGGGTGGGGAAGCTGGGAGACATCGGTGAGGAAAGCGATGGAAAAAGGAGGCATACTCATCGAAAGTGAAGTCACGGGAGTGAAGGAAGCGGTGAGACGGTGGGTGGTAGAAGTGCTAGTCAGACGAGTCAAGGGGGAAACCGAGGAAGACACAGGGGAGGGTGCGGGCAGTGAGCTTGTCCGCATTAGAGGCAGGAACGTGAGCAAGGCAGCCCTTGACGTGGAACGCAGACGCGTCACCAGGGAACCCGGTCCAAAGGAGGGACGGCAAAACGTGTGGCCGCTGAGAGAGAGGTCAGAGGTTAAGCTGGTGAGTGGCGTAGAGAACGGCGAACGGCCATAGAGAATGGGATGCACCAGCATGGATCATGGAGGTACGAGCCACCTCCATGACCAAACCGATGCGTCGCTCAGCGACCCTATTCTGCTGCGGGGATTCCGGTAGGGTGTACATCTGGGTGATACCCTCCGCACGACAGAACTGACCCAGCCGACCAGAGGCGAACTCGCCGCCACGGTCGGACTGGAGACACAGCACAGGGAGACCGCGGTGGAGGCGCGCAGCGACGAGCCACGGGATAAGAACGTTAGGCAGGTCGGCCTTCCGCTCCAGGGGAAACACCGTGGTGTAGCGCGTGAAGTCGTCAACGTGCACAAGAAAGTAGCGCTCGTGACGCGGCACAGGGAGAGGGGCTGGGCCCCAGACGTCCAAGTGCAGGGTGTGAAGGGGTGTAGTGGCAGGGCGAAGTGAGGAGGAGTGAGGAGCACGGCGCAGTCGACCCTCAACGCAGGGCATGCACAGCGGCGCAGGCGAGGGAGGGAGAGCAGGGAGCGACGTAGGGAGGCCAAGGACTAGACCGTGCTGAGACATGTGACGCAGGCGGGGGAGCGCGGGGTGACCTAGACGATGGTGCCACAATAGGAACGGGTGAGTGAGCGACTGACACGAGCAGGCCGCAGCTACCTGGGTGGACGCAGGATCGAAGGAGGACTATCCCGCCGGGGGGGGAGCAGTGTCCAGCGTAAACTGGACAGACACACGGTCCAGGGGGAACGTCGCAAGGGGGGCAACCTGAGGCGGCCTCGGAACAGACCGCGTACCGCTCATGACCAGGGAACGTAGTGGTGACGCCGAGGTTCTGAAGACAGCAGACACCAACTAAGTTCCTGGAGAATGTGGGGATGTGCAGGTCTGTAAGGGAACCCGAGGGAACCGCCGGACAGGGAAGGGTAGTGTAGCTATGAGCAACTACAGGACCAGATGAGGGGTCCGCAAGGGCGACAGCGGCAGGCGCAGCAAGCGGCGAGAGGGCGGCGTGGTCGCGGAAGAAACAAGCTGACGCACCGGAGTCTAGAGTGAAGGACAGCGACGCCGTAGTGGCCGACGACGGAGGAGCAAGGGTAGAGCCTAGGCTAGACAAAGCAAGCTGTCCTACGCCTAATGCAGCAGGGGAGTCTGGACTACACACAGGTGCTACGCCTAAGCTAGAGAACACAGAGTAATACGATCCGGAAACACTCGAAGCGTCAGCATACGGAGAATGCAAGGAAGAACTAATCTGATCCATGTCTAAGTCAAATACAGGCACACCGTGGCGCAGCAGGCTGGGCCAGTCAGGGTTGTCCGGGGCGGGGCCAAAGCGGCGACGGACGAGGTCGTCGAGGCGGCGGAGACAGCAGGCGGTGGGGTGCGGGCAGCGGCACACCGTGCCACGCAGGGGCCCGGTCTAAAGCTGGTACTAACAGCTCACAGCATCGAAGTTGCCGGTGGACGCTGAGCTGCGAGGGCCACCACCACTGTGAGAGAACAACCCCGTTACACCAATTTCCCCTTTCCATATTTCCTTTCCATTTCGTTCCTCTTTCTATCTTGATCCATTTGGTTTTTATCTTATTCCATTTGGATTCCTATTTCTCCTTTTCCATAAACCTTTGGTTTATCCTGTTATTATCATTATATCACCGACCAGGCTCGGGATGTACTGGTATGCTATATCTAGCGTAATCGTGCCGTAATCCCTTAAAGTCAATAGCGCGTGGCTATACGCAGGGTGATTCTATTTCTAGAAGGGTCTATTCCCTTTGGATAAGATAAACCTGGTTACCTGATGTACTTTGGGAGTATAAAAGCGCCTTGTATCAATCGAATGTGCAACCTTTCCTCGACACATTCGATCATGTGACACTTGGTAATCAGAGTTTTTCTCACTTGGCCGCGCTCAGCTAAGCAGCAGCAGCGGGGGATCCTGCCTCGAAAAACCGCCGGGGGTGACCAATTCGATGCCGATTCTGGTAAGCACCAGCTCCGCGTTTTTTTGAATTACCCCCTCCGCGCGTGTTTTGAACAGGATGGCGAACTTTGACAACGCCGAAGTTACCCAGCAGCTCTTCGCGCGCATCGCAGCTCTACAGGAGGAGATGCGAGCCGATCGCGAAGCGTGGCGAAACGAGTTCGAGCGAGTAACTCGACTCGCCGGCGCGCAACACGAAACGACAACGGCGACGATGCAGCAGTCGCAGCAGTTTCTCGAGGCTCCGAAACCGCGCCCACCTGAGCCGTTGGATCCGAGCGATCGAAATTCCGACGTCCGCGGATGGATCGCCGGCATGGAGATATACTTCGCAGCCATCGGATGGAGCTCGCTAGTCTGGGACGGTCAGCGCGTACGACTCGCGGCGACAATGATGCGAGGGCCGGCACTTGAGTGGATCGGCGGTAACAGCACCTTCATCCACGGCGAAGCCACGTGGCAGCAGTTCCGCACCGACCTGCTGAAACGTTTCGAGCCGATAAATTCGGGTTTCCTTACCCGGGAAATAATTCATCGCCATCGACAGTTCGGGAGTGTAGCACAGTACACGTAGCAGATGGAGGAATTTTATAACCGCATTCCCAACCTGACCGAAGGGGAAAAGGTACAATCGTACCTCGCCGGGCTGAAGACCGAAGTCAAACGACAAGTGGCAACGACAACCTACGCGAGCTACAGTGACGTCGTATCGGCCGCGGGACGCTTCGATATGGTCAACGCCGTGACACGACGGACGCACGTCGGCAGTACGCGACAGGGCGACCGCTCGGCTCACACCATGATCGCCGACCCGATGGAAGTCGACAGGTTCGAAGGGCGGTCGCGTCCGAAAAACACCAACTACACGTGTGATTTCTGCGGGGTGCCGGGTCATAGAATCTTTGACTGCAACAAAATGAAAGCCGCACGCGCTGAGTATCGGGCACGCAACAGTGGCGGAAATCCTTCGGCCAATCAGAAGCCAAAAAACAGGACTCGCCAGTGATTGCGGATCTAGCTGGCGAAAAAGAAAAGATCCGAAAGCGGCCGCGGACTTCCGGAAAAATCAACTCCGATGCAGCTGATTCGACGCAAACTGGAGAAAATGATGGGGAAAAATCTCCACCCCACGACCAGTCTTTGCCAGAGGAAATCGCCGAGGAAAAATCTAACTCCGCGAAAAAGGACTCTGCCAAGACAGGGGAACTCCTTGAAGTCCCAAGAAATTATAAGGATTCGTTAAAGTTATCTCACACAGATGCTTTAATGAAAACTTGTAATTCTCGAGGGGCTAGAGCCTTGGAGAAATTTTGGGAGGGACTCCAGAAGAAACAGAAATTTGTGGAGATCATACCGGTACCGGAGAACTTGGGGACCAAATTAAGGAGTGTGGAAAGAAGCTGACCTTTCCACGGAGTCAACGTCCTCTCCCGACACCAGCCCACAGCGACTACTCGTTCCCCAGGGAAGACGTCGGTGGAGCTGAAGTAGCTCAAAAGGAAGCTGGGGGTCTACAAGAAGTTGAAAAAACCCCGAACTCCTTCTTCGGATGCATCCAACTCAGCAACTTCGTCAACGACACGAACAGTCGTCACGGAAACTCCGGGCGCTGGAGAAGAACCTTTCTCCAAGCAGCCTCGGCCAACTGCCAGCTCAGGGGTAGGAAGCAACGAATATTGGGATGTACCCTATGACCCAATCAATGAAACTATCTTTGGGTACTCCGAGCAACGCTTGCCCCTCGTGCTCGAGGTCATATGCAAAGGACGATGCCTCCAAGCACTCGTGGACAGCGGAGCATCACACACTGTATGCGACAAGGCAACCATCGACCGACTTCGAGAAGAGTACAAGCCATCAGCGTTTTCTGCAACGATGGTGGGCGGCAGCAAGCTACCAGTGTACGGCGAAGCAGTGCTACACCTACAAATCGGTCCACTACGCTGGAAACCTGCTCTCCCCATCACCAACATAAAAGGGCTTGACCTGATCTTCGGGCGAGACTTCCTCAAGAAATTCAACCCCGAGATCAACTGGGTAAACTGCACCGCAAGCATCTACAACAAAGGAAGGAGAGTCCGGCTACCCAACTGGGACGATACAGGAGATATCCCAGTGGAGACACTCGCCAGATTCGAGAAGGACGTGAAACGAACCGACACCGGGTTTCTGGCGATCGCAACAGAGGTGGAGAATGACAAACAGAAAGCCTCGGAACCTCCAGAAAAATCAAGGACTTACTGAAGGAGTTCCAAGACATTCTTCCCGACGACCTCCCGGACGAACTACCGCCATACCGAACGCACCAACACGAGATCGTGGAGGAACCAGGTTCGAAACCGACCTTCCGAGCACCATATCGGCTAAGCCCCATAGAACTAGCCATATCGGCATGAAGAAGCAGATCGAGTATCTCCTCGCCAAAGGACTCATCCGACCATCCACTTCGCCATACGGTGCCCCAGTACTCTTCACACCGAAAACGGACGGAAGCCTGCGCATGTGCATCGACTACCGAGCTCTCAACAAGCAGACCATCAAGAACAAATATCCGATACCACGAATCGATGACCTGCTTGACCAGCTTCGGGGAGCTACGGTATTTTCAAAACTAGATCTGCAGTCCGGATACTGGCAGATAAGAATGGCGGACGATTCCGTTCACAAAACTGCCTTCCGAACTCGGTACGGATCGTACGAGTATTTGGTCATGCCGTTCGGACTCACCAATGCACCTGCAATATTCTAAGCAGAGATGAATCATATCCTACGCCCACTCTTGGACAAATGCATGGTGGTATACGTGGACGACATTCTCATCTACTCGCGCGACATGAAGCAACACGTCGAGCACCTACGACGCGTCTTCGAAATTCTTCGACGAGAATGTTTCTACGTCAAACTATCCAAGAGCGACTTCGCGCTCGAGAAGGTCCAATTCCTCGGACATATCGTAAGCGCTCAAGGAGTTCACGTCGACCCCAAGAAAATCGAAGCCGTGAAGGAGTTACAGCAGTTCCTTGGCTTTGCTAACTACTACAACTGGTTCGTGCCACAATACGTGAAGATCGCCACGGTACTCACGATACAAGCACTCACGTCTGCACCAGTACTCATCTTGCCAGACCCCGAACGCAACTACGCCATCGAAGCTGACGCCAGCGACCAGGCAGTGGGAGCAGTCTTGATGCAAGACCAAAGGAATGGCCTGCAACTTATTGCCTACCTCAGCAAAAAATTACATGGAGCAGAACTCAACTACCCAATACACGACAAGGAGGCCCTTGCTATCATCATCGCCTTCAAAACGTGGAGATGTTATCTCGAAGGACGCAAGACGACAGTCTACACCGACCATTGCAGCCTAAAATATTTGAAAACGCAACCAAGCCTCTCCAGGCGGCAGGTCCGGTGGATTGACTTCCTCGAGACACACTTCCACTACGACATCGTGTACAAGCCTGGCCATAAAAACAAAGCCGATGCGCTTAGCCGGCCTGCACACGTTGCCGCTATCCAAGTTGAAGGGATGAATCCAGTCCTCAAGGGACTCTTCACACACGGGTATACCATCGACCCCGAAATTCCCTTGGCAGAAAAGCGACATCTGCTACAGTGGGACAACAACATCGCGTACCGGAAAGGATCAATGAAGATCTGGGTACCTAATTACCCTCCATTGCGCCAGTTACTACTCAAAGAATACCACGACGTCCTGTACGCGTAACACTTCGGTAGCAACAAGACGCTCACCGGTATCGCCAAACACTACTACTGGCCCCACATGGCAGATGACGTACATAAATTCGTCACCTCGTGCACTACATGTCAGCGGATGAAGAGCAGCAAGCAGAAAAAGGCGGGTCCGCTACAACCTCTTCCTGTCCCAGAACAGCCATGGCAAGCGGTAAGCCTAGACTTCATCACCGGGCTACCAACTACCATGAGCGGACATGACGCGATCCTCGTCGTCATTGACAAGTTCTCCAAAATGGGACACTTCATCCCGACACACACCACAGCACGCACCGAGGAGACAGCACAACTCTTTGTTCACTACATCATCTCACAACATGGCATTCCAACCACACTCATCTCCGACCGAGACCCTAAGTTCACCAATAAATTCTGGAAAGAACTGATGTCTCTACTCGGAACCAAACTCGCCATGTCATCCGCATACCATCCACAGACAGATGGACAGACCAAGCGCCTCAACCAAATTGTGGAGCAACTCCTCCGCGCAGCCTGCAAGGACGACATCTCCAAATGGGACTTGCATCTACCCGTCCTGGAGTTTGCCTACAACAATGCTACTCATGCCGCTACTGGACAGACGCTGCTCTTCCTTTGTTACGGACACCACCCACTCACACCTCAACAGCCAACCATACCAGCCACAGTCCAACCCGCTCATGATTTCATCACGACCATGCACAAACTTTGGGATCGGACCCACAAGCGCCTTCTCGACATTCATCAACAACAGAAGCGCCAAGCCGATCGCCACCGCACAGACCACACCATCAGCGTGGGAGACCGAGTACTACTCGACACACACAATCTTGACATCAGCCATCTCCCATCCAAATTGCGACCTCGCTTTTGCGGGCCTTTTCTCGTTGAAGCACAGGTCACTCCTGTTACCTTCCGCTTACGCCTGCCAGCTACCTGGAAGATTCACAACGCCTTCCATGTCCAACTCTTGAAGCCCTACCGAGATCCCAACACGGTCTTCTCTGGACGCCAACCGCCGCCGCCGCCGCCCGTCCTCATCCATGATGAACCCGAGTACGAGGTCGAATCCGTGCTTGCTCACCGCTGTCGACAAAATGGCACCGTGGAGCTTCTCATCCGTTGGAAGGGTTATGATCCTTCAGAGGATAGCTGAGTCTCTGAATCCGAGATGGATCACGCTCGTCGTCCTCTTCGCGACTACCTTGTCAAGCAGGGTGTTACGTCTACCACCCAGCTTTGAGGGGGGGAAGTGTGAGAGTACGACCCCGTTATACAAATTTCCCCTTTCCATATTTCCTTTCCATTTCATTCCTCTTTCTATCTTGATCCATTTGGTTCTTATCTCATTCCATTTGGATTCCTATTTCTCCATTTCCATAAACCTTTGGTTTATCCTGTTATTATCATTATATCACCGACCAGGCTCGGGATGTACTGGTACGCTATATCTAGCGTAATCCTGCCGTAATCCCTGAAAGCCAATAGCCTCGCGTGGCTATACGCAAGTTGATTCTATTTCTAGAAGGGTCTATTCCCTTTGGATAAGATAAACCTGGTTACCTGAAGTACTTTGGAAGTATAAAAGCGCAATGTATCAATCGATAGTGCAACCTTTCCTCAAGAGATTCGATCCTATGACAACCACGACCACCACCGCCAGGGGCTCCTGGCCACCTGGGCGGGATACGAGCCCACGATTGCGGCTGCTGCTGCTGCTGCTGCTGCTGCTGCTGTGACGGCTGCTGTGGCAGCGTCGGCTGCGACTGTGGCGACTGCTGCTGCTCCTGGGCACCAGCACCAACCCCCTCGTCAGAACCACTGTCCCCGCCACCACCCCCACTAGCGCCACCTCCACGTCCTCTCTTGGGGCCACGGCGGCCCCGGCGCTGGCGCTGCTCTGGGTACGCCGCAACTGAGTCTCAGGTGCAGGCGCAGTCGTGGCAACTGTGGCGGAGACGTCAGCGTACGTGCACTGGGAGGGGGCACAGCGCTGAAAGATAGGGACTACCGCAACACTGCTCGACTGAGCGATAGTGCGCTGGCGAGTCTCTATCTCAGACAGAGTAGTGACAAAGGCAGTCAGGGTGATGTCGGCAGGGTGCTGACTAACGAAGTGGTCGCGGGCAGTGGCTAAGCGGTCAGGCACGCGCATGGTGATGAGGTACAGGGTAGCGCAGAAAGGTTGGGGGAAGGTAGTAAGCTGGGCGGCAGAGCTAGCAGCGCGGTAGCTGGTCTCTAGTGCACGGAGGTGAGTAGCGAGGTCAGCTTCCGTGGGGAAAGCAGAAAGACCAGGGAAGAGCATGGGGAGGATCAAGCGGCCAGCAGAGGCGGAAGCAGGTGTGGAGTAACGCTCAACTACTGCAGCGAGAAAATCCTTGGCGTTCGCGACTGCAGTAAAGCGCGGACGCTCAGACAGGGGGATGGCATGGCTAATGGCAAGCTGGGCTATTGCGTCGCGAGAATCCCAGACAGCTCGAGCAAGCGCAGCAGCAGCAAAAGCCTCGCTCTCAGCAGCGGCAGGGCCAACAGGGAGGGGGTCAGGCGCAGGGGGGCGGGGAAGCAAACCATCAACATGCATAGCCAGGGAGTGCCCATCTTGGCGCTGACCTGTCAGGTGTCGACGGAGGTCAACGAGCCAAGCGGCGAAGTTGATTGCTTGCCCCTCAGCATCCAAGCGAAGAGCGGCGTCCGCCATCTCACAGTGTGACAGCGGCACAGCGGCTCAGCGGCGCAGCGACTCGGCGGCTCGGCGGCGCGGCGGCTCAAGGACACGGCGGTACGGCGGCTTGGCGGCACGGCTGCTTGGCGGCACGGCAGCTCGGCGGCATGGCGGCTCGGCGGCATGGCGGCTCGGCGGCGCGGGTGCTTGGCGACTCGGGGACACGGCGGCTCGGCGGCTCAGGCGACGAGGCCGGCTAGGACGCTAGGGGCCGGCTAGAGCACAAGGGGCCGGCTAGGGCGAGCGGGGCCGGCAAGGGCGCGTGGGGCCGGCTAGGGACGTGGGGGGGGGGGGGGGGGGGGGGGGGGGGGGGGGAGGGGGTGGCGGTAGGAGCACGAGGGGCCGTAGGGGCGCGAGGGGCCAGCTGGGGGCGCGAGGGGGCCGGCTAGGGGCGCGAGGGGCCGTAGTGGCGCGCGGGGCCAGCTTGGGGTGCGACAGGACCGTAGGAGCGCGACGGGGCTGGTAGGTGCGTGACGGTGCCGGCTAGGGGCGCGACGGGGCCATAGGGGCGCGACAGGGCCGTAGGGGCGCAACGGGGCCGTAGGGGCACGACGGGGCTAGCTAGGGGCGCGACGGGGCCGGCTTGGGGCGCGACGGGGCCGTAGGGGCACGACGGGGCATGCTAGGGGCGCGACGGGGCCGTAGGGGCACGACGGGGCCTGCTAGGGGCGCGACGGGGCCGTAGGGGCGCGACGGGGCCGTAGGGGCGCGACGGGGCCGTAGGGGCGCGACGGGGCCTGCTAGGGGCGCGCGGGGCCAGCTAGGGGCGCGAGGGTCTGGTAGGTGGCGGCACGGGGCGGAAGCGGGTGGGTGGACCTACCTACTCGTGATACCATGTTAAGACTAGAAAGAATGATTAGAAGAAGGGAGAACAGGGGAGATATAGCATTTGGGTTGTACCCACTAAGAACATACCCTATCTAGCCTATAACTTCTACATAACAATATAGGTATAAGTTGACAATCTGGTCCTCATTGTGCGATTCAGTAGTCGTTGGAGTCGACTCAAAATGGATCTGGTCCTCGTTATTGAGCAACTTGGTAGGGCATCAAGCTGGCGCCACTCCTCCAGTGCAGCAACCGAGCCTCTGCAGCAGATTCGGGGGGTGGGGTGGTTAAATTGGGGCAGGGGAGACGGATAAGAGAGGCTAGTATGAGATTGGAGGAACATTTGTAGTCTAAGCGAGATTGGATCATTGGAGGAGTAAGAGGGGTGGCCTGGTGGGGGAGTGTGTTGGTCATTTCGTTTTGAGTCTCGAGAGGAACAGGAGAGGCTAGTATGTGAGCGGGACATTGTATGTGAGGGGGACATAGTTAGTATGTGAGGGGGACATAGTTCTTGCGCAGCTCACGCGCCGATGCGACGGGGGGTGGGTGTCGTGTGGCTGACCTGAACAACTTCTTCAGCGCCTTACGCGCCGATGCGACGGGGTTGAACTTGCGCAACTTCTTCCCCGCGCACCCCTTCCTCGCATGCGCCACGATCTGCATGCACCCGCCATTGCTATCTTTTACCAATGTGTCATTCTTTTTGGTTGCCGTCACCTTGGTACGCCACGACACTTGCACGAAATTCAACGAATTGGCGAAATTCGCCGGAATGTCGATGCACCGGAGCGCCCTATTGAACCGAACCGCCAGTTGCGGCACATTCGTGTTCGGATTGCCCAAAACCAGCGTCGTCCCAACCTCGCCTTTCGAGCTCACACCCAAAATGGATCCTTAAGTCGACGACCTGCACATTTAGGGTAAACCCCAACCCACGTAACTCAGCCTGTGCCGACACATCCAAACTCCTCGAACATACATCTCCCAATTTCACCGCAGCGCCAGTGTGAGAGTACGACTCCGTTACACCACTTGGCCTTTTCCATATTTCATCTTCATTTCATTCCTCTTTTTATCTCATCTCCTTTTGCCTCATATTCCCCATTTTCCATTATCCTTTGGTTTCTTCCCTTATTATCATTATATCACCGACCAAGCATGGAATGTTCTAGAAACGCTATCTAGCGTAATCCTGTCGTAATCTCTTAAAGCCAATAGCCTCGCGTGGCTATACGCAGGGTGATTCTATTTTCTAGAAGGGTCTATTCCTTTAGATAGGATAAACCTGGTTACTTGATGTACTCTGGAAGTATAAAAGCGCCTTGTACTGATCGATAGTGCAACCTTTCCTCGACACATTCGATCCTGTGACACTTGGTAATCAGAGCTTTTCTCACTCGACCGCGCTCAGCTAAGCAGCAGCAGCGGGGATCCTGCCTCGAAAAACCGCCGGGGGCGACTAATTCGACGCCGATTCTGGTAAGCACCAGCTCCGCGATTTTCGAATTACCCCCTCCGTGCGTGTTTTGAACAGGATGGCAACCTTCGACAACGCCGAGGTTACCCAGCAGCTCTTCGCGCGCATCGCAGCCCTTCAGGAGGAAATGCGAGCGGATCGCGAAGCGTGGCGAAACCAGTTCGAGCGAGTAACTCGACTCGCCGGAGCGCAGCACGAGACGACAACGGCGACGACGCAGCAGTCGCAGCAGTTTCTCGAGGCTCCGAAACCGCGCCCACCTGAGCCGTTCGATCCGAGCGATCGAAACTCCGACGCCCGCAGATGGATCGCCGGGATGGAGATCTACTTCGCAGCCGTCGGATGGAGCTCGCCAGTCTGGGACGGTCAACGCGTACGACTCGCGGCGACACTGATGCGAGGGCCGGCACTCGAGTGGATTGGCGGCAACAGCACCGTCATCCACGGTGAAGCCACGTGGCAGCAGTTCCGCGCCGACCTGCTGAAACGCTTCGAACCGATAAATTCAAGTTTTCTTGCCCGCGAAAAAATTCATCGTCATCGACAGCTCGGGAGTGTATCACAGTACACGCAGCAGATGGAAGAATTTTATAACCGCATTCCCGACCTGACCGAAGGGGAAAAAGTACAATCGTACCTCGCCGGGCTGAAGACCGAAGTCAAACGACAAGTCACAGCGTCAAACTACGCGAGCTACAGTGACGTCGTTTCGGCCGCGGAGCGCTTCGACATGGTCAACGCCGGAACACGACGGACGCACGTCGGCAGTACGCGACAGGGCGACCGCTCGGCTCACACCACGTTCGCCGACCCGATGGAAGTCGACAGATTCGAGGGGCGGCCACGTCCGAAAAACACCAACTACACGTGTGATTTTTGCGGGGTGCCGGGCCACCGAATCTTCGACTGCAACAAAATGAAGGCCGCACGCGCAGAGTATCGGGCACGCAACAGTGGCGGAAATCTTCCGGCCAATCAGAAGACAAAAAACGGGAGTCGCCAGTGATTGCGGATCTAGCTGGCGAAAATAAAAAGATCCGGAAACGGCCGCGGGATTCCGAGAAAATCAACTTCGACGAAGCTGATTCGACGCGAGCAGGAGGAAATGATGGGGGAAAATCTCCACCCCACGACCAGTCTTCGCCAGGGAAATTCGCCGAGGAAAAATCAGACTCCGCGAAAAAAGACTCTGCCGAGACGGGGAAACTCCTTGAAGACCCAAGAAATGATAAGAATTCGTTAAAGCTATCCTATAAAGATGCTTTAATGAAAACTTATGATTTTCGAGGAGCTAGAGCCTTGGAGAAATTTCGGGAGGGACTCCAAAAGAAGCAGACAGCTGTGGAGATTGTACCGGTACCGGACAACTTGGGGACCAAATTAAGGAGTGTGGAAAGAAGCCAACCTTTCCACGGAGTCAACGTCCTCTCCCGACACCAGCCCACAACGACTACCCGCTCCCCAGGGAAGACGTCGGTGGAGCTGAAGCAGCTCAAGAGGAAGCTGGGGGTCTACAAGAAGCTGCACAAACCCCGAACTCCTTCTACGGATGCATCCAGTTCTTCGGCATCAACGACACGCACAGTCGTCAAGGAAACTCCGGGCCCTGGAGAAGAGCCGTTCTCCAAGCAGCCTCGGCCAGCTGCTAGCTCAGGAGCAGATAGCAACGAAAGGTGTGTACGGATTATTGGGATGTACCCTATGACCCCATTAATGAGACTATCTTTGGGTACTCTGAGCAACGCCCGCCTCTCGTGCTCGAGGTCATCTGCAAAGGACGACGCCTCCAAGCACTCGTGGACAGCGGAGCGTCACACACCGTCTGCGACAAGGCAATAATCGATTGACTTCGAGAAGAGTACAAGCCTTCAAAATTCTCTGCAACGATGGTGGATGGCAGCAAGTTACCAGTACACGGCGAAGCAGTGCTACACCTACAAATTGGACCACTGCGCTGGAGACCTGCACTCCCCATCACCAACATCAAAGGGCTTGACTTGATCTTCGGGCGAGACTTCCTGAAAAAATTCAACCCCGAGATCAACTGGGTGAACCGCACCGCAAGCATCTACAACAATGGACGGAGAGTACAGCTACCCAACTGGGACGATACTGGAGATATCCCAGTGGAGACACTCGCACGATTCGAGAAGGACGTGAAGCGGACCGACACAGGGTTCCTGGCAATAGCAACAGAGGTGGAGAATGACGGAGAGAAAGCCTCGGAAACTCCAGAAAAAATCAAGGAATTACTGAAGGAGTTCCAAGACATTCTTCCTGACGATCTTCCGAACGAGCTACCGCCATACCGAACGCATCAACACGAGATCGTGGAGGAACCGGGTTCGAAGCCGACCTTCCGAGCACCATATCGGCTCAGCCCTACGGAGCTGACTGACATGAAAAAACAGATCGAGTATCTTCTAGCCAAAGGACTCATCCGCCCATCTACTTCACCGTACGGTGCCCCAGTACTCTTCACACCGAAACCGGACGGAAGCCTGCGCATGTGCATCGACTACCGAGCTCTTAACAAGCAGACCATCAAGAATAAATATCCGATACCGCGAATCGATGACCTGCTTGACCAGCTTCGGGGAGCTACGGTATTTTCCAAACTGGATCTGCGGTCCGGATACTGGCAGATACGGATGGCGGACAACTCTATCCACAAAACTGCTTTCCGAACTCGGTACGGATCGTACGAGTATTTGGTCATGCCGTTCGGACTCACTGACGCACCGGCAACGTTCCAAGCCGAAATGAACCACATTCTACGACCACTTCTGGACGAATGCGTGGTGGTGTACCTGGACGACATACTCATCTACTCACGCGACATGAAGCAGCACGTCGAACACCTGCGACGCGTCTTCGAAATTCTTCGACGGGAACGATTCTACGTCAAACTGTCCAAGAGCGAATTCGCCCTGGAGAAGGTCCAATTTCTAGGACACATGGTGAGCGCTCAAGGAGTTCACGTCGACCCCAAGAAAATCGAAGCCGTACGTACGTGGAAGACACCCGAGAACGTGAAGGAGTTGCAGCAGTTCCTAGGCTTCGCTAATTACTACAACAGGTTCGTGCCACAGTATGCAAAACTCGCGGCACCACTCACGAATCTGCTGAAGAAGAACACGCCCTACAAATGGGAACCAAAGCACCAGGAAGCCGTGGAGCAGCTGAAACAAGCACTCACATCCGCACCGGTGCTCATCCTGCCAGATCCCGAACGTGACTACGTCATCGAAGCAGACGCCAGTGATCAGGCTGTCGGAGCAGTCTTGATGCAAGACCAAGGGAATGGACTGCAACCCATTGCCTACCTCAGCAAGAAACTGCACGGGGCAGAACTCAACTACCCGATACACGACAAAGAGGCTCTTGCTATCATCATCGCCTTCAAAGCGTGGAGATGCTATCTCGAAGGACGAAGAACAACCGTCTACACCGACCACTGCAGCCTGAAATATTTGAAGACACAACCCAACCTTTCCAGGCGGCAGGTCCGGTGGATCGACTTCCTCGAGACACACTTCCACTACGACATCGTGTACAAGCCCGGCCACAAGAACAAAGCAGACGCGCTCAGCCGGCCTGCACACGTTGCCGCGATTCAGGTCGAAGGGATGAATCCACTACTCAAGGGACTCTTCACCCACGGGTACGCCATCGACCCCGAAATTCCCTTGGCAGAAAAGCGACATCTGCTACAGTGGGACAGTGACATCGCGTATCGGAAGGGATCCACAAAAATCTGGGTACCCAATTACCCTCCTTTGCGCCAGTTACTACTCGAAGAATACCACGACGTCCTCTACGCCGGACACTTCGGTAGCAACAAGACGCTGACCGGTATCGCCAAACACTACTACTGGCCCCATATGGCAGACGACGTCCAGAAATTCGTCACCTCGTGTGATACATGTCAGCGGATGAAGAGCAGCAAGCAGAAAAAGGCGGGACTACTGCAGCCTCTTCCTGTCCCAGAACAACCATGGCAAGTGGTTAGCCTGGACTTCATCACCGGGTTACCACCTACCTCCAGCGGTCATGACGCCATCCTTGTCGTCATTGACAAGTTCTCCAAAATGGGACACTTCATCCCGACACACACGACGGCACGCACCGAGGAGACAGCACAGCTCTTCGTTCGTCACATCATCTCACAGCATGGCATCCCAACTACACTCATCTCCGACCGAGACCCCAAGTTCACTAGCAAGTTCTGGAAGGAACTTATGTCTCTGCTCGGCACCAAACTCGCCATGTCATCCGCATACCATCCGCAGACAGACGGACAGACCGAGCGCCTCAACCAAATTGTTGAGCAACTCCTCCGAGCAGCCTGCAAGGACGACATCTCCAAATGGGACTTGCACCTGCCCGTTCTCGAGTTTGCTTACAACAACGCTACACACGCCGCTACGGGACAGACGCCGTTCTTCCTCTGCTACGGACGCCACCCACTCACACCACAGAAACCGACAACACCAGCAACAGTCCAACCTGCACACGACTTCATCACAACCATGCATCAGCTTTGGGATCGGACCCATAAGCGCCTCCTTGACATTCAACAGCAACAGAAGCGCCAGGCCGATCGCCATCGCAACGACCACACCATTTCCGTGGGAGACCAGGTTCTCCTTGACACCCGCAACCTGGACATCAGCCATCTCCCATCTAAACTTCGACCTCGCTTCTGCGGGCCTTTTCTCGTTGACGCACAGGTCACTCCTGTTACCTTCCGCTTACGCCTACCAGCTACCTGGAAGATTCACAACGCCTTCCATGTCCAACTTCTGAAGCCCTATCGAGATCCTAATACGATCTTCGTCGGACGCCAACCGCCGCCGCCGCCACCCGTCCTCGTCCAAAATGAACCCGAGTACGAGGTCGAGTCCGTGCTTGCACACCGCCGTCGTCGGAATGGCACCGTGGAGCTTCTTATTCGTTGGAAGGGCTATGATCCTTCTGAGGACAGCTGGGTCTCTGAGACCGACATGGGTAACGCCCGTCGTCCTCTGCATGACTACCTTGTCAAGCAGGGTGTTACTTCTACCACCCAGCTTTGAGGGGGGGAAGTGTGAGAGTACGACTCCGTTACACCACTTGGCCTTTTCCATATTTCATCTTCATTTCATTCCTCTTTTTATCTCATCTCCTTTTGCCTCATATTCCCCATTTTCCATTATCCTTTGGTTTCTTCCCTTATTATCATTATATTACCGACCAAGCATGGAATGTTCTAGAAACGCTATCTAGCGTAATCCTGTCGTAATCTCTTAAAGCCAATAGCCTCGCGTGGCTATACGCAGGGTGATTCTATTTTCTAGAAGGGTCTATTCCTTTAGATAGGATAAACCTGGTTACTTGATGTACTCTGGAAGTATAAAAGCGCCTTGTACTGATCGATAGTGCAACCTTTCCTCGACACATTCAATCCTGTGACAGCCAGCGCCCGCATCGGCTGTCACGCCCTTCCCGCTGATCTTAGCCGTCGACCCGACACCGACCTTGGCCGCAATTCCTCCCACATTCGCGGCGAGATCAACCGCAGCATTGCCACTGATTTCTTTTTTGCTGATTCCTCCCCCTGCCTTGATCTTCGTCGACGTTCCCATGCCTGCCACGTCACCTTTTCCCTCGACCGAGCCGTCCGCCTTGATCCCGCTCTTCGTGACACTCGCGCCGCCCTTAACCGTCGCGTCGCCCTTCCCGAGCCCATTAAGAACGTTCGCGGTTGTGCTTCCTTTGACGCTTGCGGTGACTCCATTACCGTTAAGCTTCACATCACCCTTTGCATCCCCCGAGGTGTTAGCCTTTAGCAGATCGATGCTCACACTGGCATTCGCGCCTGGTTCAAACTCCCGCTCACCGTTGCCAGCCGTCCCGCTCACTCCGCCGCCGCCGCGGACGGTGCCGAATCCGTTGACAGACCCGCCCGAGTTAACTGCCACTTTCACGTTATTCACGCCGTTCTTGCTGGAGACGTCGGTGGTTATGTCCTCCGTGACGGCGTTAGAGTTCTTTTCCGTCGTCTCGCCGCTAAACCCGGAGGGGGCGTTTGAGGTGGTGATTTTGGCGGGGAGGTTTGAAGTGGTAGCCTCGCCGTTGCCCTCCGCCGCGGGTTTCTCGCCGCTACCCTCCGCCGCGGGTTTCTCGCTGCAGCCCTCCGCCGTGGGTTTCTCGCCGCTGCCCTTCGCCGCGGGTTTCTCGCCGCTGCCCTCCGCCGCGGGTTTCTCGCCGCTATACTCCGCCGCGAGTTTCTCGCCGCTGCCCTCCGCCGCGAGTTTCTCGCCGCTGCCCTCCTCCGCGGGTTTCTCGCTGCTGCCCTCCGCCGCGGGTTTCTCGCTGCTGCCCTCCGCCGCGGGTTTCTCGCCGCCGCCCTCCGCCGCGGGTTTCTCGCTGCTGCCCTCCGCCCCCCAAAAAAAAAGTCTTAGGGATGCGGAGCTATAATTGATCAATTTGAGTTTTTATGGATATTTTATTGTGTACGTTCCATTCCAACGCACAAACATTTAATGAAATGTTGTCTTCCGTTTTACACTTGGAAATATACAATTATAGTGCAATTACTATTTGAATGCACTTAGTGATTTCTTTTCTAAGCACTGTACATAACTTGTTGTGAAAGTTTATATGGGTATTCAGGGCGTAATCCTAGAACCTGATCCCAGGATCAACCATGCGGGAAATCTGACTGCACTATACTCAAACGCGTTTTTAACCGTTTCACCGCATAGTACCAGGAAACAGGAATACGCCCTTAGATTAAGCTAGGCTAGCCTAAAAGATAACATGACGGTTTCCCTCAAGACTCGAACCCCTACATCCACAATCAAAGCCTTTAACCAAACCATTGTGCTAATCAAAATATCAATGTGGTCTTACTGTTTTTTCCAGGCTTAAACATTTGCGACAAGGGCCAGATTGCTTGTGGTTTCATCTCTCATTTTTCCCGCCAGCTTGAATCCTTGTCTCCCACTACTCCCATGTTTCTCGCCAGCAACGGTTCCTAACGCACCTCCTTACCTCTCACATGTATGTTAATCATCTCCCTAACTGCTAGCTATGTGTAACGCTTCTATTCATTGCACATTGAAATTTATTTTTTTGCTGCACCATACGACCTAATTATTAGGTCGTTCTAGGGGCCGCCGTCCGTTGCGCGTTGGCGCCATGAGCGCCGGCGCATAACGAGGTGGAGCGCATTGCGCGCGGTGGCGCGTTGCGCGCTGCAATCTAGCGTGGGACGCGTTCCGTGCTTGCACATTGCGCGCTTGCGCCCCGTCCATCACTTCTCACGCCTCCCTTGTCTTCCCTGCCTTCCATCCCCTCCTTCCATTCTTCATTCCTCATTTCCCTTTTCACACACTCATTCTCTTATTCATTCATTCTCTAATATCTTCGTTCACTCATTCTCCCATTCGCCCACTCTCTCATTCTCCCACTCACGCATTCTATCATTCTCTGATTCTCGGATTCTCTCATTGTCTTCTTCTCCCGTTCACCCACTCTCTCATTCTCATATTCTCTCATTCTCTCACTCACCCATTTCTCTCGGTCTCTCTCTCTCTCTCTCTCTCTCTCTCTCACTCTCTCTCTCTCTCTCTCTCTCTCTCTCTCTCTCTCTCTCTCTCTCTCTCTCTCCCTCTCTCTCTCTCTCTCTCTCCTCTCTCTCTCTCTCTCTCTCTCTCTCTCTCCTCTCTCTCTCTCTCTCTCTCTCTCTCTCTCTCTCTCTCTCTCTCTCTCTCTCTCTCTCTCTCTCTCTCTCTCTCTCTCTCTCTCTCTCTCTCTCGCGCGCGCGCGCTACGTCCTGGAGGAGGGCGGCAGTGGAGAGAGGTGGTGAGAGGTGGAGAGAGGTGGAGAGAGATGGGATGCAATGCTAAGTAGAGAACAAGTGACAATGCCCACCTCTCTCACCCCCTCAAGTACGTATCTATTCCTGAGGCGCCTCAAAAATAGTCTCCCCCACCTCCCTCACCCTATCCAGTAGTTGTTGCTGCAGCGGACCCAAATTCCACGCTACCTCTCTCTCTCTTTTGCTCTCTCTTTCGCTGCACCCTTCCCTCACCACAGTTTTCCCAGTTCTCTTTTATCCATCCACTCCTCTTCTTTCATCTTCATTTATTTCTTTCTTCTCTCATGCTCCTATTTGGCGTTCTGCTTCACCTGTTGCTAGGCCTTACTTGTGCGAACTGGTTCTCTACGTTGCTCTGATTTTTTTTCCCAATTTATGCTCGTTCTTTTTATTTGTACGGTTTTTTACTACCTTGTTTTCCCCTTTTTGTTTCATTAGCTTTTGTGGTGTGGCTGCAGGGTCCACCCTTTTGGGTGTTGTTGGATTATGCTCCGTGCCTCCCTGGTTTTTTTGGACTGCATCATATTTCCCTTATTTCGACTTCTAATTTTTGCTTGGTGCATGCAGCTTAATTCATGTCTCTAGTGCATGGGTACTCGTGGCAATGAGTTTCGTGGATGTCAAAAACTGGATTGCCCTTATCGTTTCAAGAAGGATCGCTTGACTCTCTCCTTGAGTGTAGTCACTTGACCTGGGAGCGATAAGTGCAACTCAGATTTTGGTATTCACGAAGTTTATTACCTTGAAGCAATGTATTATGTAGGCATTAAGCTTGAAAATCCCCCCCTAACCTATTGCGACAAATCTAGGCTTTTGACTTCCCCCACTCAGCTGGGGAAGCGATCGCCTATTTTTGTCCTCGACAAAAATACGCCACGAGAACTCATGGAAAACATTAACACCTGTTTTTATTTTTGACCCTCGTTTCTTGATCTAAATTGTAGTGTAAATTTCATTTTATACTACTGTTTACATCCTTCCAACAACCATTCTAGAAAATTAGGCAACAATCAATCTATGTAGTACAATATGTAGGCTCCCTTTTTTTTTCCCATTTTTTGTTTTCAAAATTGAAAAAAATCCTCGTCTGATCGATCGCAATAAGTTGCTCCGCAACCCCCCCCCCCCAAAAAAAGATCGCTTTCCAGTAACTCTAGCACTGATAGGATGGCCGTGACAATATTCTTGAAGCAGACTCAGGGCACTTTCTGGACACGGGAACACGCCAGGTGGAGGAAAGTTGCCTCGCATCTTACGACTCCTGACGGCTGCGTGACTAGAAACACACCGTTCGCAGACAAACCTACCGGACTAGAAGTGGTGCAGGATCATCGCTCGCCAATGTACACCTCCCTTCGCGTTTGCGACAACTCTGCGCGGTTTTCTGTACATTGTCAACTCGTTTTGCGACTTTCTGCACCTCTGTAGGTGCACGGCCATCAAAGTCCCTAGACCCAAGGTGGAACCTCTAAACCCCGCGGCTCCTTCGACCGCGGGTCAGCCACGGGTCGCACCCGAGGTGCAAAATTCCCTCACAAAATAATTTCTACCACCCCAAATTGGTTATGAGAGTTTCTCATGTGAAACTGGCGCCCGTATCCGACCCTACTTATGTAAAATTGCCTATTTCGCGACGCCGAATGTGCGCTTGTAACCAGCGTCTGTATCAGTAACTATTGATGTAAGGAACTACGATTCCTTACTGGGGCTCGCCACAACGAGTACACGCGAGTCTCTTGGTTCCGCAGGCTCGGCCCTTGGTTCTCGCGCCAAACCAGCCCCCGTCGAACTTTTCGGCCCCAACCTGATCCCGAGTCGCCTCGAACCCATTTTGACCCCGTCACCTTCGGGACTACCGAGACCTTGAGTGGTCCAAACCTCGACATTTAACCCTGGTCAACACACCTATATATTGCCTAGGCCTCATCATTCTGGAACATTTTGTAATCACGTTCCCCTCTAGTATTCTGCGCTATACTCTGGTTATAATTAATAACAGCTGGTATCAGAGCTACATTCCTACCCATTAGGCTTCCGGTAGGGGAGCAGATCCTATCGGGGAAGGGGGCAGAAGGATGCTGATGGCGAGCGGACGCCGCAGATATTAATTGCACGGGCGTTGCCGATGCCGTCAGATCCTGTCCGATGGACGGCTGGGATTGGCCGGTCCTCCCCTTCCCTGGTTGTAGACGGAATTATTTCCTGTCGAAGAGATGACGACGTTTTCGTAGTATTTTTCGGGTAAGTTCATTAGAGCTTTCGTAAATTTCGGGTGTTCGGTCGGAGTCTTCGGATTCGCTTCGGAAAAAAGCGAAGGCTTCGTCATGAGGAGAAAACAAGTGCACGGGAGTCCTCGGGCGGCCGGGAGTTGGTCGTCAGGAGTGCCCGGGGTGGCAACAATGGCGGGATGTACGGCGATGTACATCTGGCACGCCATGCAGCGGCAGGGTGAACTGTAGCTGTGTCGCGGGTCCCGGCGTTTCCGACAGGCTAGTTGCAGGCGATGGACGGGACTTCAATACTATTTCGGCAATGGGCGGATCCGACAATTTCGGAACGACACGATCGCACGAGGACGTGTGCGTGTGCAGTTGTGTGAGAGCAGCTGGGACTAACGACCTCGGCGCTATTCGCCACGACGGCCATCTGGAGGTGATGACGCTGTGGTGGAGTGAGTGTACTCAGCGAGGGCGAATTCCCGCTTGTGGAGGCGTTTTTCTTGGACCAGAGATTCATACCCCCACGATCAACGGAAACGGAGGCCACCATCCCTGGGTGTGTACTAAGTGTTTTTCCACCGATGGCTGAATGTGTTAACTGTCAATGAGCTGAAGCAGTGGGAGAAGAACGACGGGAGTACTGGAGCAGATGGGTTAGCGGCGTTCGGGCTGCTACTCGCTCAGCTACTGTACATCGCCCGGAAATCACAATTCCCACCAGGTACCAGTGTCGACCTAGTAATCGACGGCTTCTGGCTAAATAAGGGGGGTGAACCTACGAACTACACTGTGTTGATGGAGTGTCCCATAAATTTTCGGAGTTACTGTTGCAGTGGAGCTGAGGGTTTCACCTGGTGCAGCAGAATGAGCTTCCGACTTTTGCGGGTGTAGTTTGATGAGTTTCCGACGGAGGAAGGAGCTGTCCAGCGGTCAGTAGGCGAGCTCGTTAAAGCTCCTCTTACTAGAAGCGTGCACATTCCTATCTGTGCGGATTCTCCTAGTTAGTTAAGCAGCAGCGAAGCGGTTTTGGGTAACCTGCAGCAGCCGCGAGATGGGTGAACGTCTGCACGGCCAGTTAGAAAGGGGTACCAGAGAATTTCTAGATTTGGGAAACAGCTGGGCAAAAATCGACGATGTATGATGCGAGCTAACCCCGATCGACGGCCAAAACATCATGCCGAGGCGGTGGACTCCGGTGTTCCCTAATATAAAGGGTTCAGTTCATGCGTACAGGTGGTGGAGAAACCCTGGGGGGCACTTCTAAAGGATGCTGTGACACCTGGGTGTTTTCGGGGTAGCTGTTAAGCGGAGTGGCGGTATCTGCTAAGTAACATGTGGAGTTCCGGTATTTTTGGAGTACAAGCTGGTCGTAGTCCTGAATTTTACAGCAGGAGTTGTGCCCGCTATCTTCAGGGGTACGAGCAATATCGACTGACTTTTGTTGAGATATTGGGTACATGGAGAGGAGGGAGAGCAGTTGTTGTTTCGGTTCTTCCCGACATTTTCGGCGTGTACGGACAAAGAAGCTGGTGTCACTTGACCCCAGGTTCTATTCGAGGATATTCACTGGAGTGGTTCGGTACAGGTTACAGGTCCTCGCCATCGTCGTCTTCCTCTCACCACCACCCGCTACCACCTCCAATATGAATTCGCCTAAATTGTGTGAGCACGACCCCGCCTCGCCATCCGAATCGACAGCAGCAGTATCAACGCGAGAAGATTTTGCAGCACTACCGTCGGAGTTGAATTGGGACCAACTCGTACGCAGTGTTACTGTTCGTCTGGGAGTCTTTCGGAGCAGTAGTTTTGGAATTTCCGGATCTTCGATGCGGTTTACCCTGAAGACATTTACCAGGAGCGGATCTCGGAGTCCTCAAAATTCACGTTTTAGTGGCTGGGATATATTTCAACGGCATCTTCGAAGCTGAGTACGAGACTTTTAAGCAGCCGCGTGGGATGATTTCAACTACCCTGGAGCATCGGGTTTCTTGGAGTTTTACCTGGGAAACTGGGAGCTGTTTCTTCTTGGAGTGGGGGGAAGGGCAGCTGTGCTGCAAATTTTCGTCTGACCCTTCGGCGTGTTCCATTCTTCCCTTTCGACCGACATTCGTCATCGTTACGCTTCCGCACCTAATTTCGTCACTTTGTTGATCGAGTTCGCTGACTTTCGTGGGACACGGACGCGTGCTCTCGCATGTGACACGAACGACCCCGCGTTTTGGTGAGCGGGTTCTTCATTTCATCGACCATCACGTCATTCGCCAGTTCATCATTACTCGTGATGTTGATCATGCAGGCGTCATCATCAATCGACCACTCGACAGTTTCACTGTTTACAGTCTTCCGCTAGAGTATTTACCCTTGCCCGTTGGTCAGCAGAAGAATTCGACCATCTTCGACGACTGCGATTACAAGCGATTGTTTCGATGCTTTCTGACCATCGATTTCAGTTCGACCTCAAGACCTCGTCAGGCCAACGTAATCATTACGCTCGTCACAGGGCTGAAGACTTACAGTCATATCGGGGATTACTTGTAATGACTGTTCGGCCTCGATAAAGGAAGGGCCTTCCTTTAGAAGGTGGAAAAGTGTAAGGAATTACGATTCCTTACTGGGGCTCGCCACAGCGAGTACACGCGAACCTCTCGGTTCCAGAGGCCCGGCCATTGGTTCTTGCGCCAAACCAGCCCCCGTCGACCTTTTCGGCCCCTACCTGATCCCGAGTAGCCCCGAACCCATTTTGACCCCGTCACCCTCGGGACTACCGAGCCCTTGATTGGTCCAAACATCGACATTCAACCCTGGTCAACACACCTATATATTGCCTGGGCCTCACTATTCTGGAACATTCTGTAATCACGTTCCCCTATAGTATTGTGCGCTATACTCTGAGATATAATTAATAACAATTGAAGACACTCTGTGTAAGGAATTAGTAATTCCTTACTGAGGCTTGATACAGGGTATACGACTCGAGCAGTCCCGAACCACTGATAGGGTTCCAGACCTTTCAGTTCGAGCCTCCTGGGCCTCTCCGGATCTCGCTTCGACACATCAACGCCCTACGATACTTTTCCCGAACCTTCCGTTCCTACGTCCAGGATCGGCCTAGGTTTCCTATATATTGTATTGTCTTTCATTTTATTATCATTCACTCATTTACAGTTTCGCCATTGCCCTCCGCGCTACTCGGCAGTTCCATTCATAACACCCTACATATGCTTGCTTTTCCAATTTTCTGGCTTGTAACAAACTGCGTCATACAAACGACATGCATGAATGTGCATTGCTTACAATATGGCAATGGCAACATACAAAGCCTAGAAATCTCAACCCGAAACGCACTACACTACTGGATGCCATGCATCGGGGAAGGCAGGCAGCGCAGGGATCTAGTGAATCGACATGAGACTGGTAACGTAACCACAGTGGTACCAGGTTGCAGGTAGCAGGTCTGAGGTTGCGACCAGAGCAACCACAGGGTTGGTTGCACCACGGTGGACTGCTGCCGGTCCTTATTTGAGCCCTTCGGGCTCGGAGATGACTCCTGGATCTCATCCTCCCTTATTGTACAACTCAGAAGTAGTAACTTGAGCTGGCTCAAAATAGATATGGTCCTCGTTATTGGATAACTCAGTAGCGCATCAAGCTGGCGCCACTCCCTGAGGATAGTAAATCTTTCCAAATCTCCCCAAACCCCCCCCATCCCCTCGTCCCTTAGCGCAGCAATCAAGCCTCTGCAGCGGATTCGGGGGATAAACGTAGGGGGGAGGGGGGGATTAGGCAGGAGGTTCGAGTGGTAGAGGTGACTACAAGAGAAGGGAGGAGGAGGGGGAGGAGTGGGGGGAGGGAGAGGGAGGGAGGGAGGGGGGGAGGAGGACATAGATTTCTTACAGATAAGAGGGAAGCCATTGCGGGTAAGAGTAGGTGGCTTGGCGGGGGATGAATATCGAGCTAATGATGATGATGGATGGCGCGAAGCTCATGCCAGCACCACTCTGTGGTGTGCTAATACCCTAGGACAAGGTTACTGCAGACTTGGTGACTGGGAACTGAAGATTCGCAACCCTCACTTCTGTGGCAGGTTGACAGCCTAAGGGCCAGAAGGCTGAAGGCTTGGTGGCTGGAGATTGAGGAGGTGTGGTGACGTGGCAACTGGGAACTCACAGGAGGCGCATTGGAGGGAGCGGGGGGCGACGCCCACCTGCAAACTCTACCTCTGTGGCAGGTTAATGTGCTAGGATCAGAAGGCTGAAGGCTTGGTGACTGGGGACTGAAGGGCGTGGTGACCTGGCGATTGGGGACTCACACAGGAGGCGCGTTGGAGGGAGCGGGCGATGCTTTGGTGACCTGGAAACTTTGAGATTCGCAACCCTCACCTCGATCGCAGACTCATACCCTAGGACCAAAAGACTGGAGGCGTGGTGACTGGGACTAAGGAGGCTCGGTGACCTGGCGACTGGGGACTCATAGGAGGTGCATTGCAAGGAGCGGGCGACCATGACGCCCGCCTTCTTCACACTGCAGGGTTGAGAGGAGGAGGGGCGGAGGGAAGGGGGGAGGGGATAGAGAGATGAGGGGAGGGAGGAAAGAGATCAAGGGGCATGGGCATTGTGAGAGTGCAGAGGGAGCGTACAACCTTCGCTTTCACAAAGTAAGACCCACTATTGGATTGAGGGGAAGTGGGTGTTAGGATTAAGGACAGAGTCTAGGTGAACTTAGGAGCTAGAATTACTCAAAATATAAATCCGAAATTCTGGACAGAAAAGTCGTCTTCACAAGAAACGACGTCGACAAACAACTAGCCGTTGGAATGTCGCGAAACTTGGATATGTTGTAGCTCTTAATCTCAGCTACCGTTCCCAATTTGAATCATGTTGATTGATAAAGTATTCGCGACGCTATGGCTTTCGACGCACTAGGGGGTAAGCTGTAGGAGGAGAACTTAACTCAATCTCAAAGGTTCAATCAAAGTTCAAGAATCTCACAAGGAATTAGAAGGAGCAAGAGAAAGGTTGGGATAGGAAGAGAGGGATGAGAGGGAAGGTCCCAAGAGAGTCCCCAACCAAGGAAAACCCCATAAGCACAAAGATTCCCTCCCTATAGGAACCCCAACTTTGACATTTGTCCCTTCCCAACCAATCCATCCAAGTTGGCCACCCTTGCCAACCTAGCTTGGTTGTTCCCAACCAATTTGCAGCTGTTACAGTAGAGTGACAAGTTTCCCCAACCCCAAAGGTCCCAACTCCATATAAAGTCACCCCACAACTTCACTTAGTAACCGCCGCAATTGTAACGCAAGCTCATGAACTTTGAATCTTCATAGCTTTCGCGTTCTTGCTCCGATTGAAGCGATTCTTGTTGCGTCGGAAAGATCTTCTCAAGATCTATTATCACAAATACCTGCTCAGACAGAATAACACAAAACACATTCCCAAACTCCAGAACACACCACACACAAATGCTTGCACATTCAAACCACACATGCAAGTTGAAAAAACATGGGATGGGAGGCAGACAGAATGTGATAGCATATGATGACATCACACAACAATCTCCCCCTCTGGCTGCCAACCATCATCGACCATACCACATCTCAAGCATGCATACTCAATGCACACTCATCCCAGCAAGCTTCATGCCCTTCCAATGATCCGCCTCCGCCAGACGCTTAGTGAAAATATCTGCTGCCTGCTGATGGGTCTTCACTATCTCCAGCCGCACCTCCTTATCAAGGAGTCTCCTCACCCAATGCCACTTAGGCCTTATGTGTTTTGTCAGCCCATGCAGACAAGCATTCTTGGCGAGCTTCACAGCGGACTCATTGTCACAAAACACAACTGTCGGCTTCTCCTGACCAACTCCCAACTCCTCCAACAAACGCCTCAGCCATACCACTTCCTTGGCCCCATGGTGTAAGGCCATGTACTCAGTCTCACATGAAGACAATCCCACCTCATTTTGCTTCTTGCTGCGCCAGCTCACAGCACCACCTCCTAGCAAGCACACATAACCCCCAATGCTGGTGCCATCCGCTTTCACTGAGTTGAAGCTAGCGTCAGTATAGCAACTCAAGAGCATCTCTCCACTCTTCACATCTGCAGCACCTCTCTGCAACCGCTGCCTCACTCCACTGTACTCCAATCCCACTGATGCCGTAGCACTCACATAGCGGACCAACCTCTTGGCCGCTTCCAGCTGCTCATGACTAGGGCGTGAGACCACACTAGCCAACCGTGATGTAGCAAATGCAATGTCAGGCCGTGTATGATTTGCAGGATAATTCAGCGACCCAACCATCGAATGAAACAGCTTCCTGTCACTATCACCCACTACCTCCTCATCAGCACATGGCTCCACAGTGAACCCCGAAGGTAGTGGTGTTGCTGGCTTTCCCCCATCTTGCAGCCCATACTTCTCAGCCAGCCCCTCACAGTACTTCCTCTGGTGCAACCTCAGCACACCCTTTTCCACATCTCTCTCCACGTGCATCCCCAAGTAGTACTTCGCCTCACCCATCTTGGAGCACTTGAACTGCATCTCCAGCATCTGCTCTGCGCTGTCCAGCAAAGCAGTTGATGCAGAAAAGAGAAGGATATCATCCACATACACCAAGAGCATGAGGATTTCGTCCTTCTCCTGCAGCAGGAACAGGCTGGGGTCACACTCACTCTTCTTGAAACCCCCAGCCAGCAGCGCCTCCTCCAACTTGTGATACCATGCACGAGGCGCCTGCTTAAGGCCATAGATGGCCTTCTTCAGCCTGCAGACCCTGCCGCTCCCATCATCCAGCCCCTCTGGCTGCTTCATGTACACCTCCTCCAGAATGATCCCATTCAGAAAGGCAGTCACAATGTCCATCTGCCGAATCTTCCATCCCAGGAGTGCAGCTATCGCCAACAGCACCCTCAATGTTGTTCCTTTCCCCACAGGAGCAAACACCTCATCATAGTCCTTCCCCTTTGTCTGCTGAAACCCCCGTGCCACAAGCCTAGACTTGTAGCGGGTCAGCTCCCCTTCAGGTCCATACTTGTGCCTGTAGATCATCTTGGAAGTGATTGCCTTCTTTCCAGGAGGCAAGTCACACAGGTCCCATGTCTCGTTCTCAATTAGGGACCCGAACTCCTCATCCTCACTCGCCTTCCACTTCTCCCCATTTGGTCCATTCAAGGCCTCTTCTCGAGTCTTGGGCTCAGGGATTGGTGCCCAGTAGCAGTGAGCGATCTCATCTTCCTCAATCTGCTCAACCACACTCCCAGCCTGCACCACATTCGGCTTGCCTCTTCCCCCATAGGTCAGCCTCACTGGAGGGCGCACATCCCTCCTAGGACGCTCAGGCGGGTGTGGAACTCGAGGTGGAGACTCATGCTGCTGCTGCTGCTGCTGCTCTACTTCAGCTGCTCCCCCTTCCTCAGTCACCCCAGACATCTCCTCCTCTGACACTGCAACCTCCACCTGTCTTGAAGGCTGCTGCACCTCATCTGCCTCCACAATGAGCGGTGTAGATGGAAGCTTCTGTTGCTGCTGCTTCCATTCCTTGTAGTACAGGGACTCAAGAAACTTCACATCCCTTGACACTGTCAACTTCTGGGTGGTCAAGTCCCATAGCAGCCACCCCTTGTGATCCTTTGCAATCCCCAAGTGCACACCCCATCTTCCAGAAGCCTCCAACTTCCCCCTTTTCTCCTTAGGCACATGAAACACCACCATGCACCCAAATGCCCTCAGCATGTTCACAGCTGGAGCACTCCCATACCACTTGACGTATGGGATCCACTCCTTATCTCCAACTGTAGCCAGCACCCTGTTCTTCACAAGGGCGACCTGCCTCAGTGCAGACACCCAAAACGGATCAGGCAGCCCTGCACGCCCAAGGAGAGTGCGTGCCCCCTCCTGCAGGGTCCTGTTGAACCTCTCAGCCACGCCATTCTGCTGTGGGTTGTAGGGCACTGTCAGTTGATGCTGGATCCCCTTCCTCTTCAACTCCCCCTCAAAATCAGCTCCAATGAACTCCCCACCATTGTCACTACGGATCACCTTCACCTTGTGTCCGCATTCCCTCTGAGCTCTCGGCATCCACTCCTTAAGGACAGCCGCTGCCACCTCCCCCTTGCTCTTCAAAGGGTAAACCCACACTGCCCAAGTGTGGTCATCCACAATTGTCAAGAAATAGCGGCTGCCTGAGAGGGAAGGGGCTCTTGTGGGCCCCACCACATCCATGTGCACAAGTGCAAGTGGGGTCTTGGATGGTCCAGTTGCACTGTTGAAGGGGAACTTGGAGAACTTGGTCTCCAAGCATGTAGGGCAGCTCCCAATCTCCTTCACTTCCCCTTTCACCTCCAAGCCCTTCAGGCTCCCATTCTTCACCAACTTCTGCAGCATAGGGAAGTTCACATGACACAACCTCTCATGCCATGTCTCCCAATCGGCCTCTCCACTCCTTGATGAAGCCTTAGCCCATGCCGCACTCGCATCCACACCAGCAAGCACCTCACCATGTGTCTGCTGCTTCTGCACTTTCTTGACTGCTTCCAGCACCCCATCAGTTGGTGCAGTTGCATCTCCTCCTGCTGTTGCCTTTGCCACTGCTGCCGTTGCTGCTGTTGGAGTCTTCCCATTCCAAGGGATGATGGGCAGCTGCCACAGGTCCTTGATGCAGCTGGTCTCCTCTTCCAGACTCCACAGCACCTTCTTCCCAAGCTTAGCACGGCAGCTGGTTGGTCCAAAGGTCACTTCGGCCTTACTCTTCTGCAGCCGCCGCACAGAGAGAAGGTTAGCAGACAAGCCTTTAACCAGCAGAACATTCCCAAGCCCCACAAGCTCCCCATTAGCTCCCTTAACCTTGGCATTCCCAACACCAATCACGGGGAGCAAAGCACCTGACGCTGCTGCCACATACTTAATCTTCCCAGGGGGTTTTACCTCATCAAGCAAATCTGCCCGTGGGGTCATGTGACTGGTGCAACCCGAATCAATCACCCAGTGCGTGAGAGGGTGCATCACAACCTTTCCCACAAATCCCACATCACCCTCATGCCCATGCACATCCTCAACCATAAGAAACAAACCAGGATAGGCATTACCTTGTGCACCTTCACCTTGTGCACCTGAGCCTTGCACAGCGCCACCTTGTGCGCGTTCACCACTGGGTGGCTTCATGCCTGGAGGTGCCCATCCCTCCGGCCTGCTGAAGCACTTGAACCAAGGATGCCCTATCTTCTTGCAGTACCAGCAGGTGCCCTCCATTCTGGTACTCCCCCTGCCACTAGAGCTCCCATGCCCCTCATTATAGTCACCTCGGCCTCTACCTCTGCCAAAGCTCCTCCCACGGCCTCGGCCTCTCCAACCCCCTCTTCCTCTGCCGCGCCCTGCAGCTCCATACCCCTCAGCAGTCTTAGTGGCAGCACCGCCTCCCACATGGCGTCTGCGGAAGTCCTCCTGCAGAATCTGCTGCCTTAGCCACTCAGGTGTCCATTGATCTTGTTGAGAGTTGAGGGTGGGGATGAGGTTGTCCCAAGAGTTGTCCAACACCGAGATGATCTTGGTGCACTGCTGCAGCTGAGATACACTGCTGCCCGCTGCTGCCATCCTTGCATAGGTGTCCTTGATCTTGTCAAGGACCGGCTTCACATCGTCCCCTGGTCGCATGGAGATGGCAGCAAGTTCCTTCTCGAGCACGATCACCATCAGGAGAGTGTTGGGCTGAATCACATCGCGTAGTAGTTTCCACGCCCTTGGACCCGAATCATCCGCTTCCACAAGATCCTTGATGTGCTCGAACATCTCCTTGTTGACCGATTGAAGGATGAGGTCGAAAAGCACCGTGCTTTTCTCAATCCACCGTTCACGTGCTTCGCCTTCTTCCGGCATCTTCTCTTCCCCAACAGCAATCTTCAGTAGCTTGTAGCGTTTGAAGGCACTCCTCATCCGTCCGCTCCATTCCTCATAGTTGGAGCCATCCAAAGCTTCAACTTTTGATGGCGGCGGCTCACTTGTCTTCTCAGGTACAGCTCCTCTTCCATTAGCATCTCCTCCTCTCTCATTCATCTTCTCCTTGAGAAATGACGAATTTCAGCTCCCCTTTGCTGTCCACACTCAGCTCCCTCGATATTTTCACAAGTGTCGGCGTCCACGAAATTTCGGCAGAGTTTCCCCTTAGCGGAAGACACATCCAACCTTTAGAACACCACTTAGGCACACCCACAGGCCATGGTGGGTCTAGAAGGGTCTTCAAACTTCTGTAGACTCCTCTCAATGTCCTTAATATTGCTCTGATACCACTTGTTAGGATTAAGGACAGAGTCTAGGTGAACTTAGGAGCTAGAATTACTCAAAATATAAATCCGAAATTCTGGACAGAAAAGTCGTCTTCACAAGAAACGACGTCGACAAACAACTAGCCGTTGGAATGTCGCGAAACTTGGATATGTTGTAGCTCTTAATCTCAGCTACCGTTCCCAATTTGAATCATGTTGATTGATAAAGTATTCGCGACGCTATGGCTTTCGACGCACTAGGGGGTAAGCTGTAGGAGGAGAACTTAACTCAATCTCAAAGGTTCAATCAAAGTTCAAGAATCTCACAAGGAATTAGAAGGAGCAAGAGAAAGGTTGGGATAGGAAGAGAGGGATGAGAGGGAAGGTCCCAAGAGAGTCCCCAACCAAGGAAAACCCCATAAGCACAAAGATTCCCTCCCTATAGGAACCCCAACTTTGACATTTGTCCCTTCCCAACCAATCCATCCAAGTTGGCCACCCTTGCCAACCTAGCTTGGTTGTTCCCAACCAATTTGCAGCTGTTACAGTAGAGTGACAAGTTTCCCCAACCCCAAAGGTCCCAACTCCATATAAAGTCACCCCACAACTTCACTTAGTAACCGCCGCAATTGTAACGCAAGCTCATGAACTTTGAATCTTCATAGCTTTCGCGTTCTTGCTCCGATTGAAGCGATTCTTGTTGCGTCGGAAAGATCTTCTCAAGATCTATTATCACAAATACCTGCTCAGACAGAATAACACAAAACACATTCCCAAACTCCAGAACACACCACACACAAATGCTTGCACATTCAAACCACACATGCAAGTTGAAAAAACATGGGATGGGAGGCAGACAGAATGTGATAGCATATGATGACATCACACAACAGTGGGGAGGCAGTGCCAGATGAGGGGGGGGAGGAAGGAGATGAGGGGACTTGGGCATTGTGAGAGTGCAGAGGAGGGAGCAGGCGTCGTCCGCCTTCTTGCCATGGAACACACTGCAAGGTTGAGAAAGGGGGAAGAAGGGGAAGGGGGGGGGGGAGAGGGGAATAGAGGGGGCCTTGGGGATACCGAGGGGAAGGGAAGCGAACAAGGGAGGGAGGGATGGGGGAGGTGGATTGGGGAGAGGGAGGTGGAGTGGAAGGGAAAGGAGAGGACGTAGAGGGGAGGAAGAGGGAAAGATAAGGTAGTGAACATGTGTGTTCCGTATGCCGGAGAAAAAGAGCTGTACAATCCAGTAGGGGGTCGCGGTGCATTCCAGGATAAGAGCGGTACTTTGGGAAGGGGGGTTACTAAATGAAACGAAACGAAA